CGTTGTTTCTTCGTAAGTACTGGTAACGGTTTTCAACGACAACAAGCGAGAAATATCAACGTCACTACGGACCATCTGTCCCTCGACTGGGGAGCTCCCGAGGACGAATTCAACGTCTTTTGCGTCGATGTTAGTATGCCAATGCAAAACTGCAAGGGCATGGGCCATGCCAGTGTTCAGTTCGGAAACGTTCAGGCCCAGCTCATGAATCTGGTTTGAGTGCAAGATGAAATTTCGCAACGAAAAAAAGGACGCCCCGGCTCCGTACTTTAGGCGACCTAAACAGGGGCGAATAAGACAGTCTTTGTTCGCCTCGCTTTCTTTTATCGAGTCTCGCGCCTGAGGCGGGCAGAACTTGTCAACGAGAGCATGTCGAATAGGTTGTGGCAACGGGAAGACACGCTCCATGTAAAGAACATGGCGCGGCTGTCTGGGAAATTGTGGGGTGTCTGGAAACCGTTCGAGGTGCTCGTTCCAGAAAGCCGAAGTGGCTGGGGTACCATACCAGAAGCATCGAGGGACTTCAACTTGCCCTTCGAGGTACGGCAGCTTCTGGAAACTATACTGCACGCGTTTATGCATAACATAGTTATTCCAGAGCTTCTCAGGCTTGTCTGAAAGTGGTAGTTTGTAGACGAAAACCGTTCCTGGGTGTTCAAAGACCTTCCCGATGGACCCCGTACCGATTTCTCGGAAAGGAACACTAGTATCAGTAGCGGCTTCCTGTTGCCGCGTAGCGAATGATGAGGCCGTCGAGACAACGGATTGCGTCGACAGCATTCGAGTCAGGCGAGCCGCAGGGCTTTCTTCGGTGCCCTCGACGTGCCCTGCCAAGGCTCGATTTTGGAGAGCCCGCTCAAGTGGAGATGCTTTACCGAACATTGCGGAATTCGTCGTCTAACGGCAATGCCATTAAGACCGAGGGGAGAGGGGGTTGGGATGAAACCAGAGACGTGAGGCTGGGTATGTATCAGGGTGAAGGTATTGATTGCGGTAGAGATGAGAGGCCAGGACTTGGCTCGGGAGATGAAGATGAAGGGAGGAAATGGAGGGGAAAGAAAATTTAGCCAGGAAGGAAGGCAGATACAGCAGCTTCCATACATGGACCTAGAATGGCAATTTAGTCAGTCACTGAATCAGTCAATGGACTACAATTGTAGTCAATGAACCAGTCAATGGATATTATTCGGATCGAGGATCGCACTTACTGAATTTGGCGGGGATGCGTGGGATCTGGCCTCTGCCCTCGGATCCCCGTTCAAATGGCTCAACGCTTTAAACTCATCGAGAATCGGCAGGGATCCCTTTGGCGTAGACGCCTCTTGTTTCGACAATTCTGTCCATGAGCATTTCTGGTAGCCGGGCAGTCGTTGAGTCATTGCCACTTAGCATGAGTTGGCTAGTCTCCAGAAAGCGTGTGCGAAACAAAACCCACAGCCTCTCATCAGCCGGGTGCGCTGATCCAGGTCGAGGGTAGTATGGATCGTTGCGCCAGAAGGCTCTGGCCGCGATGTCAACTCCTGATTCATCCAGAGGAAGGTCTCCACAGCAATCAAAATCGAGGACCCAGATGCTATGACGCCCGAGTGCACCGGAATCAAATGTCGTAGGCCCGTTATCCGTGTCGCTGCTACTCCTGGGTGCGGCAAGGACGAATTCGACATCATTGGCATCGATCCCGACGCGCCAATGCAGGAAAGCCAAGGCGTCCGCCATACACTCGGCATATTCTTCTATCGCGAGGCCAAGTTCCTCTATCTGATCGATATGCAGGGGAAAATTTCGTAGACTAAAAAAGGTGTGCTGTCTAGGTCTTGCGTCCTGTGTTTGGCGATGCCTGCGGCGACCGAGATAGGGCCGCACTAAGCAATGGTGATTTTTCACATCTGCCATGATGGCATCGATCTTCTCCTTAGACCCTCGGAAATACTTCTCCGCAAGGATGCGGCGCACTGCTCGTGGCATAGGGCTAATCTTCTCGCTGATGATTGCATTGCAGGCGGTGGATCCCGCGGGTAGGCGAGGTAAGATTTCAGACCAGTGGTTAGCCTTTTCATCAAGGAATGCGTAGCATGAGGGAATGCTGAAGGGCATATGTAGGGTTTCCACGCCGAGCTTCTGGAGTATCCGTTTGTGGACTTGGTACTCATTTGTGAGTGACCTGCCAGGTCCTCCATCGCCTCGCTTCATGGCAATCGTAGAAGCAGCGTTCGTTTCAGCTTCATCGGGAACTAATTCAGGAACATGTTCGGCCCAAACGCTGCCGCAGAAGCCCATGCCTATTCTTTCGAGGCAGGCTGACGGTTTCCTTGTCCTGAGGACGGCTATATGAGCCTCTACCTCTGGAGGATATTGGGGTAAGTCGGGCATCGAATCTTTCGTATTTTGTGGGGTTTGAATGTGTTGCTGCATATTCGGGAAAAAGACGATCTGGTATGAGGCAAGTCGGTCATCGAATCTTTCTTATTTTGTCGACTTTGTCTGTTGCCGTGGATTTGGCGTCAAGACGATCGGTACCTGTGTAGAGACCGGTAATTTGAGATCTTATGACCAAGATGACGGTATGACTGTGTTGCTGCAGATTTGGGGTCAAGATGACCGGCAGATATATCAGTAATTTGATATCAAGATGACGGTATGACTGCGTTTCTGTGGATTTGGGATCAAAATGATGGATGATGGGAGAGTGGACGTTGGCTCTTATATAGGTTTGAAATCCCCTTGTCATGCGGTAGTGTAAACGGACTTGCATGTGTAAATAGATTTGCATTAGCGCAGGTGTACCCGGTCGTTTCCTATTTGAGTTGATCCCAGGTCGTGATTGGTACCAGCTTTATCTGTGTAAATAACTTGGATTAAAATAGAAATCATGCTTGACCTATTTGAAAAAGATCATGAAAACTGGAAGCTACGCTTCAACACCTCGCCCTAGTTGCTAGTTCAAGTGAAGCTCCCAAGGGAATGAACTATCGAATCGATTGAGTGCTGGGAAGCCGGCTCCTGAAACTTCAGTGGTGGGCAATGATACGTCCTCCACTTGATCCTCTGATCCATTGATGCTTTCCCCCTGAATCGTGGATACATCGCTTTACTGCTTGTGATTGATGATGGACGGATAGAAAAATTCCCACGATCATGACCAGGCTGAGTCAATCACATGCCTTTCATTCCAGAAAATGCGTTAATGATATCAAATAGTTTACATTTTTCGGAAATGGCGACTCTCAAATGCAAAAACTAGCACGAGCTATCGAAACAACTGCAAGGCAGGACTAATCTCTTAAACTCCTGATATGCAAAACATCCTCGAATCTTGGCATTTGCGGCGAGATCGGGATTGACCTTCCCTTCGTGTTGTTGGGCCATCTCCCTCGCCGTTGCCCACAACATTAGGGGCCAAGACTCTAAGGCCAGGGCAATCCGAACTCATTGTTTTTCGTAGCGAGCCTCGGTAAGCCTGGTGGTTCCCCCCTTCTCTATCCTATCAAATATTAGTATCAACGATGTTAATCGGGAAACTGGCGTCACGCCGCCGTTCCCCGTATCGCACCTCCCAACTTCCTCCTAACACCGCTTCAACAGCGACCGACGACAGCATTTCCCGATCACCACTACCATCTGTGGCAAAGCTTCACGTGAAGCGGACCTAGATTGGCTCCACGTGCTTAGGTATGTATAGTTGGCTTTCGTGTTTTGGTTCTAAGGCGATGTTGAGAAGGTGCTGGTTGTTCGCTTTAGTCTCTTGGGAGTAGAGCCAATCTTACCCTTCGAACTGGGCCGGGAACGTGATGACTTGTCAATCCTTATGCGACAGGGTAGCCACGACTTTCTTGACATCATCTTACATGTGACCTTCGATCCGACGAAGAAGCTATTAACTCCATCAAAGTTCAAATCGCGCGGGCTCCGTGTGTTTAAAGCAGCTTTTCTTCCAGTACAATGTCCTCTGAAAACCCCTAAACGGGGAGTGGAGATCGAAAGAAAACGTAGGAAACTCGACCTCGTGCTGGAGGCAACACCTCATCAAAAGATAAAAGATTTCTTTATGCCGGGTAGAAATCAAACTTGAGTCGACTTAGCCTCCTGAGTTTCGAAGACATAGCGCAAAAAAATTAATCCAAAAAAGAAAAAGAAAAAGAGTCAAAAACATACAACACCGAGGATTCGCTGGTCGTCACCGACCCAACTACTAGTTCGGCGCTTCGCAGCTTGTGTACAGGGGAGCGGACGGGACCCTCAATGATCTGCGAGCTATGGTCGTATGTGCTGAGTTTGCGCATGGAGAGAGAATATATTCATACCTTCATTCCTTTTCTTGGACGTTGGCGGCCGAGCATTATCTCTGGTCGAGTCGTGTCAGTGAGGCTGCGTAGTACATATGGGCGATGTTTATGCCGATGATATATTGCTTGATATCGAGATCACGTTTTGGTAAAAAGGGAAATAATAATAAGATCAGACCTTCAGATTTCGAAGACGAGAATACGTGCCCTAAGAATGTATTTATTACCTTGCGTGTTTTCCCAGAGATCCTTCGGCAAATCATCCGTGTCTTGGTGGCAAGTCCCGGACTACGTTCTTGGAATAATGCAGGCTGCTCTTGCTCCTCGCTCTCTTTCTCCCATCCTTCTCAAGTCACAAGTCACGAGTTCTCGTGCTGCCATCGCTTTGCACCTTGGGATCCCAAGCTTTGAGGGCGCAGTCTCCCCAATATATAAGGACTTAGAAAAAACGCCACACTTCTAAGGAGGTTGGGAAAAGGTCATATTCTGTGGATGCTAGTCTAGTAGACCCATCGCCTCCGTAGAAGCAAAATATATCTCGCCCTCAGAGGAGGACCGAAGCAGGGAGCGTCCAAGCTTGCTGGACCGACAACCGCTCTCTGCCATCTTGATCATCATCCCCAGCTAACAAAAAACACAGAAGCTCATACCAGCGAGCAACCCCAAACTTGACGCCTTCCCTATACCTCTTCCTCGCCACTCCTCCTCCCTCACCGCTTAGTAGAAACTCTCCACCATAGTGTCCTTCATCTGAGTATTAATATTACTCGGCCCCGCCCCCTCACCCAACCTAAACACACTCTCTATAACACTCAGCTCCGTCGCGGTAGTATCCAGCCCCGTAACAGCCAACCAATCATTCACGACCATGCCGGCGCCCACGAGGTGGCTGCCGCGGTTCACGCTGCCCGCCACCAGCGGTACCTGCAGGAGGCTCGAGAGCTCGTCCTGGTCCTGTATCGACGTCTTGGGGTGCACGAGGCCTCCCTGGTTCGAGAGCGCCATGTAGGAGCCCACGAGGACGTTGTCGGCTACGGTTTGGCGGAAGACTTCGACGCCGAGGACGTCGGAGATGATTTCTTCGGTTTCGCGCTCGAGGTCGGGGTGGATTAGGGCGATGTGGTCGTTTGTGGCGATGACGTTGCCGAGGGCGGAGAGGCGCTCTTCTATTCTCTGTTTGGGGGGTGATTCGTTGTGAGTATATATGGACGAGAAAACCAGCCATTAGGAGGAAGTCAGTTGGGAGCGTTGTCGTACCTGTATCCGGATTTCATCTGGGAGACTGTTCCGTAGATGTTGAAGCTCTTGGTCTGTGGTTGTGGTAGGTACAAGGAGACCCTTTCGGTTTCTGTTCGCCATTTCCATCGTTAGTTTCTCTCTCCGCATCACCCCCGCTGCGAGGATCGCAAGTCGAGGCAAGAGGAATTAAAAAACCATACCCAGCTGTTAACCTTCCGACAATCCTCGTGCCAGCAATAGTCGTCCTGCAAATAGGAATCACATCTTGTAACTCCGCCTCAAACACACTATCATCCCCGCCCTTGTCAGCAACTACGTCCCAATCTCCTCTCCCGCACCCCCTCAGTTACCATGATCGCATCGTACCTGTAAAAGTTCTCGCTCGCACCCACGGCAACAAGCGCATAAGAATTCGTCAATGTCGCAAAAACACCAACCCTGACATCACCGTCATTAGCATCATCTCCCCCCTCAATCTTGTATCCTACCCCTCCTCGTCCGAAAAAAAAATACAGGGCGAAAAAGGTGGGGCACGTACTCGTTGGAGTTTTCAAACTGCGCTCGTACCGCCATGATTTCTTCCTATCGTCGATAAAACCGTGTAAAAAAGTCGAAAGAAAGTTAAGTCGTAAAAAGGAAAGAAACGGAAGAGATGTGAAGCTTCCCTGTGCTTTGTTGTGGGAAGCGTTTGGATTGGGGGGAATTGATGATTTGTCTGATCAATGGAGGGGAAGAAGGTCAAACGAGGAGGGGACTTTTTCGCATTTTTAAATGACGACAGAAGAATAATTGCCCATGTCCATTTTTTTTCTTTTTCTGTATGGGAGCTTTTTTGCTGCGGGGCAAACCTGGACTTTCGCCCCTCTCAAAACTGCCCGCCCCGCGAAACATCCCAAGTCACACTCACAGCTTGTCCCCCAGTCGCCTTTCCAGGCGCCTGCCAAATATCCAGGCAGCCGTCCAGAACCGCTAAATCGCCAAGGAGCTCTCTTCCGAATCCGTGCTCTTGCCCCCAGTCCCTCATGGCGTAGCTTCACCCTGGTTCAACTAGAGTCACTAATATGACTCACTAAGAAAAAAGAATCTCGGCTTCGCCACAGTTTGTCTGTCTGCGCCTCTTGATCCCTCCAAGCTCCTGTGCCGTTTTCTGGCCAGTTCAATGCTTGATACTGTTGACAGTGGACTGCAAAGTCTCTGCGTATGACTCGACCCTTTGACCCTGGATCTTCCCATTCCCTGTTCCTGTTCCTGTTCCCGTTGCCACTAAATTGCGGGTAACGTGGGCAAGGAAACTATGATGCCGAATGACTAATTCTGACGCCAATTTCCAATGTTACTGCATCGTGCATGTGGTATAGTTCTTACACTTCTCACGCGGTGAGACGATGAACCATCACCAACAGCTTAAAGCTGGGTAGCTGGAGCTCCTACCGCCACCACATCGCACATGTTGCAGGGAGATAGATGCGATTGAGGTTATAACAAGCATAGGGGGTATCATTCCGAATAAAAACCCAGATAGTGTACAAGAGCTATGTGAGCGTGTATCCCTAAGTTCGTTCCCCTTTCACCCCCGTGCGTATGTGCGCGATGCAGCCTCATGCAAAACAACCACGGGCAAGGCTTGTAACAGCAAATGTCTGATGGGAGGTGGTGCTAGTCCAACAAATAATATGCTAACCATAACTCGCCCGCCCCTTCGTCATTTCATGAGAATACATCCATTCCCAAAAGGAGAAGTCGGTGGCTCCCCGAAAATAAACCCATAGTATATGCTGGCGGACCCGATCAATATGCACCCTGTACCCATACGCAAAAGGTCCTCCTATCCTCCTATCTCAGCTACGTGTCGATAACCTTCGAACTCCGTAATGTCGAGAGAGAGAAAGGACTGTGTGAAAATGAAAATCCCATCATGTAAACACCGTCCCAGGTCCCGGCTCCGATTCCAAAATACGTTACAAAAGAGAAATCGACGGGAAATATCTCGGTCCCGCAAATCCCTTGGCCATGACCGTCTGGATATCAATGTTGCTCGTAGGGTCATGGTGCGGGCTCCACATCTTGAGCAAGATGAACCGCCCAGAAACTGGCGGGTCAAAGTGAATGGTGCACTTGCTCCTGCCCTTCTCAATGTTGAACTTGGCATGCGGGGCCATCAGTTCGCCCTGCGAACTGGGTCCCCTAATCGTCCCTTGCTGCTGCTGCTGCTGCTGTCCCTGGCCGTTTGTGGTCCCAGACGATGTCGGTGTCGTGTCAGAGTCGCCGAGAGAGGCAGAAATATCCCGAAGGCCAAACACGGCGAGGTCGTCGAGGAACGGCTCATCGATGCCATTGCTGAAGCTGTCTTCGCTGTCACTCTCGAATGGTAATATCCCGATGCGGTTGGGAGCGCTACGACCCACCAGGAATGGCTCAATGCCCTCGTCGTCATCGCTGCACTCTGTTGTAATATTGAAGGGAGGGAGTGCCGTCGTAGAAAACTCCCTAGGCATTTGGGCGAACCGGTGATCCTCGTCCTCGTCGTCATCATCGTCTTCCTCATCATCCTGCTCATCATCTTCCTCTTCCTCCTCCTCCTCATCTTCTTCCTCTTCTTCGTCTTCATCCTCTTCGTCCTCGTCGTCCTCATCGCGATCGTATTCTAGTCCAAGATCATGATATGAACTCCTTCTCCTGACGCGTCCGGTACCATCTCGTCGCCGCCAAGCCGCCACATAAGCTCTTGCTCGGACTCCAGTTTCCTCGGCTCGATCGTCGGTGCCTGCACTAGAACGCCTAGCAGCAGCAGCCGTCGTTCCGTACTGAATTTGATATTGTGCCGTCCTCGTGAGTCTGTCGTCATGGTGCATCGAGACGAACACCATTCCTTGGCGAACTCTAAGTAAAGAAGAAACATGTCAGCTAATTCTCTCTTCATGCACACTTCCGTAATCAGAGGGATATATGGTATGCATCCAACTTACGGAGAAGAATAGTTCGACCCTGGAGCCTTTATAATCAGCTCCGTCAAGTTAAACACTGTTGCACCCTGGTGGCGAAGCACGATGTTGCACCGGTTCCCCTTGGTACAATACACCGACGCGTCGTTCTTCAGGATATTCTCGGCCGCATACGAAAGCTCGTTCAAAAACATGCCACCATCGCAGCTGACGATTTCCATCGTCAACGTCCCAGGCTCCACCTGCCCATAGGTACCGTATCTGAAGCCCTCGAAGTTGGGCACCAGCCGATCGGCGTCGACCTTGCGTCTCTTCACCCTCCGGTTGTCCTCCAGGGCCTCCTGCCGACGCTGTGTAGACGAAGACATGCTGTTACTGTTACCCGGCGAAGGGTTGCTGGCAGTATTACCTCCGTACCGGACAGAGCTGAGCTGAGGACTACTATGCGCCTGCTCGAGTATGGCCCGCAGATGGAGATGCGCGTTGGCTTCCTCCCAGCCTTGGCTTGCGTAGTGTGGCCTGTAAAACCGGGACAGAGACGAGTTCCGCTGAGAGTTTCTTTGTCTCGAAGCTCCGGTTGGGATTCGATACCGTCGATTCGCCGTCGCGGAAGTGACACTATTGTCGTGGGTGGAATCTCGACCTCTGGGAACGACGAATCGGAGGGAGGGAAGGGTCGTGAGGTTGAGTCGAGGCAAGCCAGGAGGGGAATCTTGCTGATGATCTCGGTAGCTTCGTCGAGAATTTTGATTTTGGTCCGACGACATGATTAAGGCAGCTCTTTAGAGTGCGTCGTGCACCGGGGCAGGGGAGGGGGGAGGGGGGTGTGTGAATGGTCAGAGGAGGAAGGGGGGGGTGTGGCGTGAGAAATAGCTATGCGTCGTTCGCTGCCTGAGAGAGGACGGGCAATCGCGCGAGAAAATATTATGTGTCGACGTTTGCTGCCGTGGTAGGAACGAGAGGGAAACCTGGGCGCGATAGGTTCTGGGGTTGCCAGGTTGGTCCCTCGCTGTGACGTTGCCTGCAGTTATGGCAGGGCTGAAGGCGATAGAAGGGAGGAAGGATCATGGACGACTTAGATTATTTCCTCCTTCTGTTTCTTTTTCCGTATCCCTTAGTTGTTCTTGTAGTTTTTAAGAGTCTTCCGTCCTTAATCCCAGCGTCTTTTTCTGCTTGATTCGGTGAGGAAGAGAAGAGAAGGATGTTGTGTGCGACGGCGGGATCCAACGAAAGACAAGGCAAGGGGAGGGGTTGAAAAGCGGGCCCCTGTCCTCCTCAAGGGTCTTGTTGGCTGGCGAAGGCGATTGTGGTTAGCCCTTGATTATTTTTTTTAGGTTCGTGGCGGTCCCGATCCTGAGCTGCAACTTTGCGGTAATTGTAAGCCTCATCAGCTCTGGAAAGAGAAGGAACTCGTTGTCGGGTTTACAGTGCTAGAGGCAGCCTGTGCGGGGGACATGAATGCTCGACCTTAGCCGATATCGATCCGACTTCTTGGTGGCAAGTTCAAGTAGGAAGTACGGAAGTGGTCAGTTCGGGATATCGAAGCTGCAATGATGCTAAATAGCTTCCGTGGAGAAACTCTGGGGCAGTTGCGACCGTGCGATAAGCCGTCGGGAAAACGGGGTGCCGCCAAATGGATTCTGCTGGACCTCTTGGACTCTGACCCCGTGAGACTATTGATTTTCGAGGTCGAGGTCGAGGTCGAGGACTCAGGCTAGCAGTTGCGTGGAATTATCACACGAATCGGCAGCTGAGCGTGGGAGGGAAAGACGGACGGTCAAGTTGGCCAAGCAATGTAAGAAGAACACGAAAGAAGGAAAGGAAGGAAGTTGAAGCGCCGAAGCTCGAAACCGGAAAAGAAGGAAACGATAAAATGATGTGGGGAGAAAACGGGGCACGCAACCGTTTAGAGGAAAGAATGACGGGAATGACCTGTCTGTCGGGAATTATTGCGTAGCTCCGTCGGGACGAATAGGAGCGTGAGCTTGAGGGCTGTTACAGCAGATACACAGGTAGATAATACTCCGTACTCTCGTAGCAAGAGATGCGTGGTCGGCTCTTGATGACACCCGCGATCAGTCATGGGGAGCACGAGGAGATTGAGACTCGCACGAAGAGAGAACGTGCTACCGCGGACGGCGGGTTCAAAATGTTGGGGTTAAGATTTGGCTATCCACGCGCTACCTCCCATGTCTTGGGAGTGAACTTTGAAGAGGGGACTTTGGCGTCATCTAATCTCAGAATGTATCAAGTTTGGTTCGTCTGCACCTCGCCTCGTGGGTTGAATCCTGGATCATGGCCGGAGAAGGCTCGGGTAATACAACAAGTACAGAATCAGTCCGTCGTGTGTAGCACTCACTCAGAGTCGCTGTGCATATTTGGTTTGATGGTTGATCCAGAGAAACCGGGAGACTCTCCAATACGGCCCGTTTTGAAACGCGAAATCCATCTGTCTCCCAGGCTCCAGGCATCATCATTGCTCGAAACAGAGAGCGTGAGGTACCTCTATGAAATTAACGACATAAATGCTTGTGTGTCGCGTCGCGTTCCTTCACCTGCTGCCAGCTGTTTCGCGTTTTCGCTTTTGTTTCATGTCAGCAGTCTCATAAATGTTATAGCGATACTCGGACTAAAGCACTCTTTGCGTGTGGAATGAAGTATCACTTAAACGGCGACCCGCTTCTTGGAATCGCCGAAGCTCCGTTTGATTTGATTTTAACCTCAGCCAGCCTCGCATCTCAACGTCCACCAACACGAATCCAAGGCGCGTGAGGAATCGAAACACGCCAACAACCGAGAAGGCCTGAAATACGCCCTAGCCAGAGTCGCGAAGCTCCCGTCGGAAAGGTTCCTGTTGGGATGGGGTCCCAAGGGACGTTACACGTGCCTCCTTGCCAGTCTTGAAGCTGAAGTCTCCCACATCCTCCTTCTTCATCCTTGTCAAGCTCATCGGCAGCTCTACCAAAATCCATTCAGCACATAGAACTCCCCCACCCCGTCAATTTCAAAGTAGACGTTCGACAAAATACCAAAACATCCCAGCAACATACCTAGGCCCTACCAATATCCACCCGCCCTCGCATTTTCCCCACAACCCTCAAATACAAACACCCCCCCTCCCATCGCATCTTACATCACCTCCCTCCCTCCCACCTCACCTCTCCACCCCTCACCACACTCCCCAAACAAACAAACAAACAACCAAACCATCACCATGGAGCCCTCCCAAAACAACGACTCTACAGCCATTAGCGAAGGTAACCTATTCCCCTCCCTCACACCCCCACCAATCTGACAACACTCACCTCCTAACCCTCCCCCCCAAACTAACAACTCTCTCCCATAGACGAAATCGCCCTCTACGACCGCCAAATCCGCCTCTGGGGCCTCCAAGCCCAAGAAAAAATCCGCAAAGCCTCCATCCTCCTCCTAACCCTGCGCGCACTCGGTACTGAAATCGCCAAAAACCTCGTCCTAGCGGGCATATCCTCGCTGACGATCCTCGACAGCGCACCCGTCTCCGCCGCCGACCTCGGCGCCCAGTTCTTCCTCTCATCCCAGCAATCCGAGTTGCCACAAGACGAGTCCGCCATTGGCAAGAACAGGGCGATCGTGGCTGCTCCGGCGATTCAGAAACTTAACCCGCGCGTTGCTGTGCGCGTGGATGAGGAGGCAGACCTCGAGAAAAAGGGCGATGCGTTCTTCGCTCAGTTCGATGTTATCATCGCTACGGATTTGGACACAGATGCGTTGGAGAGGGTCAACGACGCCGCGAGGAGGGTAGGCAAGCCATTTTACGCCGCGGGCGTCGGCGGCATGTACGGCTTTATTTTCGCGGACCTAGGACCGCACCACGAATACGTCATCCAGCGAGACGCTGGTAACCTCGCCACCAAGACGGGTCCCGAAACTCCCACGCGCTCCGTGCTCTCCGTCCGCACAAAGAAAGAGGGTCCCCGCATCGTCGAATCCGTGACCAAGCGCGAACTCTACTCCCCCTTCCAAACATCCTGCCTATCCGCTAAACTCCCCCAAGAATACACAAAGTCGAAACGTCGCCTGCGCGGCGTAACGCCCGTGCTCTCTTGTCTCCGCGCCCTATGGTCCTTTTCTTCTCCTTCCGAAACTGCTACCACCACTACTACAGAAAACGGAACTACCGCTCGTCGCCTACCCCGTCAAGATAACCGCGAAGACCTTGCCGCATTCACCCAGCTCGCCATGGCCAAACACGCCGAGTTGGGCTTACCCCCCGAGACGTTGACACCCGAGGTCATCCGTCGATTCCTGCAGGGCGTCGGCTGCGAGATCGCCCCCGTCACGGCCGTCCTAGGTGGTCAGCTGGCTCAGGACGTCATTAATGTTTTGGGAAGGACGCAGCAGCCCGTTCAGAATGTGGTTGTGTTTGATGGCGATAAGATGGAGGCGCAGATGTATGCTTTGCATCCTGAGGCGGATGTGGATGGTGCGAATGGGGGAGCTTAAGGCGGATGGGGAGTAAGAGATCTCACGTCGTCTCTTCACTATGAACTGGGTCAAGTTAGAATTTTTCGGATGGTAAAAGTTAAGGAGATAGATAGTGGCAGTTTACAAGCCACCATGGCGGTCTTCAACTTCAGGGTTGAAAAGAAGAAGAAAGAAAAAAGATAATTCTATTAGGCTCTTCGGGTCAGCGAACGCATCATCGAATGCTCAGTACTTCATAGAAACACCCGCAAAACAAGAAAACAAGTTTGCTTTTCCTCCGTTCCAGTCTTTTGTCAACGTACAGCAGGAGGCAAATGCAAAAAGAGCAAACAAAAAACTACCGCGACAGATCCGTCGCGTTCCAAAATAGTAATATACATGCTCCGAACCCTACCTCTAGGTTCGCTATGCAAGTGGATGACGAAAACAAACCACAGCCCATGATGGTGCGATGTCCTCCACCTCTCCCCTTTTTATTAATTTTTTTTTATTATTTTAATTTATCTATGGCCACTTCCTTTTCAGTCCCAAACGCCTCGAGAATGCAAAGTGGCAGATATCCGCTAGTGGCGGAGAGAGCAATAGAACATGGTGGCTAGACTGGTAAATCAAGAATATCAAGAAACGAAAAAAGGACAACAAAGGTAAAAAAATTAAACTACAAAAAAAAGAAAGGAAGGAAGAAAGGAAAAGAAAGCAAAACGAGAGCGCTCTGGCAGGGCTATTCGAGTCTCCACATCCCCTTAAAGCTCCACCGTCTTCGCCCTAGCTCGGAGTCGTGCCGAGCGCCTGGTGGGCGCGTCGGCAGCGGAGGGTTGGGTTGTTGGTTGGGTTGAGTTGTGAGATGAGCTCACTGGCATGGAGCTCGGATGTATCTTAAGGATGATCCTTGGTCGAACGGTGGTGTTGTCCGCCGAAGCCGCGTCGTTGTTAGGAGGGATAGCATCGTTATTCGGAAGAGTGACAGTATCGGTCGGGACGATCATGCCATCATTGGGCTGGACTTCGCTCTCCTCGGTCTTGACCTTCTTGGCCTGAGTCCTCTTCCGGGCCTCCTTCTTCTGGCGTCTCGATTTCTTAGGCTTCTTCGTCAACCCGCGGCCAGGTTTAAAATCGCCATCACTATCGTCTTCGATCTTCTCATAAATAACTTCATTTTCCGGGGCGCGACCTTCATGATCAAAAACCTCAGAGGCCGCCCGACTCTGCTGCGAAGTCTGGGGCGGGATGACAATAGATGGCAAAGGCTCGTCGGCGTTTGACTGTAGCAGCTCGGGGTCGGGTTGTTCATCATTCTGCTGGGCTTGGGACTGAGCGGCCGTCGTCTGCGCCGTCTTTCGGCCCTGAGCCTTCTTCTGGCGTCTCCGGTTGTTATTCTTAGTGGTTCTGGGCCTTTTAACGACCTTACTGTCCGCAGGTAGAGGGACTCCAACGTTCACCTCCGCCTCTGCATCGCCAAGATGTTGCAGTGCCTCACTCTTCTGGGGCGCAATCGGGGCTGCATTCATGTTGGACAGGTAATGTGAGGGACGAAGCGCGGGTAGCTTGTCAAGTGGAAGATTTTCCAGGTATTCCCTCTGCATCTGAGCTTTAGCCAAAGCTGCTCTCCTCATCTGAATCGGGACTTCGATGCCCTCTTCTTCTTCCTCGATCGGGTAGCTAAGAGACAGACCGGAGGCGGGGTCAGTCACCTATCCTGATGCGTCCTTGTCGTCCCTTCCCGATCTGACGCGCTGCTTCTTGGCGCTGTTGTTAACATTCCAGCCCCTGATAAAGGTTGGGCCGCGGCCGGGCAGAGGCTCTACAGCTGAATAGTCTTTGATATCCTCGGTTGGGTTGTAGCCGACTGTTCGGAGTTGGGGTTCAGAGTTCCAGCCCATCCTGTGAGGGGGGATGGGAGCTGGTTCGAGCTTTCGATACTTGCTATTTTGCTGCTGCTGTGGCTGTTGCGACTGTCCAGGGGGAGGAGGAGGACCTTGGAACGAAGGACGAGATCTGGGGCTTGAAGCGGGAGGAGAATTTCCTCGAGGAGGCGGGGGAGCTTGGGCAAGGGGTTGATATGCCGGCTGGGCCGGTGCATAGCTCGGTGGGCTGGTAGCAGGTGGGCCGTAGTACGGCTGCATGGAGAGGGTGTCGCCAGGCATACCCATCGCGTTGTGCTGCTGCTCTTGGGGAGGGAAGCTGGTATGGAATGGGCGAGCAGGACCTGGGGGGTAAAAAGATCCAGTGTTGGTAGATACCATGCCGGGGTGAGACATGGGCGGTGGGTTGGCATAGAAGGGAGGGGGATGTCCCACTTGACGGGGGGGGCGCAGCGGAGGTAGTCGGGTGGTGACTGAAGGTCGAAGGGGCTGCGGAGATGGGGCAGCATATGGCGGTTGATGCTGTTGTCCTTGGCGAGGAGGAGGAACGCCGCCGTAGTGATGCTCGGTAGGCGTAGGATGGGGGCCAGGAATAGGGCCTGCCATGGGAGGAGGTTGGGGCTGGCTCGGGGGCACCGAAGCCATCACTGTATTGTGCATGCTCATCATAGGCGGAGGCGCACCATATGGAAGAGGCGATTGGTGTGAAGGAATGGGTGGTTGTTCGTAAATGCTTTGGGGGTTGGCAGGGGGTTGAGTAAGGTGTGCTCGAAGTCGTGGATCGATAAGAGACTCTTCTTCTTGGCCGTGATGCACAGCCATTGGATGTTTGTTCGCATCGAGATCCGCGTGGCCCATTGGACCAGTTTGAAGGTGTTGTTGGTCATGCCGAGCCCCATCGTATCTCGCGGTATCATAGAGAGGTTGATGGCTCGATCTTGTTGCTCGGCCGGGAGGAGGATAGGCCGGCTCTTCGAAAGAGGGTTGAGGCAGGGATGACTCTACAGGCTCCATTTGCCTGGGCGGCGGTAGAACGGGAGGCTCTGGCACCGTTTGCAACTTAGGTGGCTGAGGGCCGGTTTCGACACCCGCGGGCCTAGGTTCCCAATGGCACGCCTCTGCAAGAAGACTGAGACTAAAAGGCTGCTGCTCAGGCTGCGGCTGGGATGGTGCTGATGTTCCGAAGACATCCCTGATGGCATCGTACGGCCTTGAAGCCGATTTCGCACGCGCCGAGCGGGCTGCAGCGTCCTCTGCGGAGGCCAGTATGGCTGCACTGACCAGGGAAGACAGCATGTTTGGGCGTTCGGCTCCGCCCTCGACTTCGGTCGTGGCGGGCTCAGGTGTTACCTCTCGGTCAGTCTCCTCGGCGGCGGATGATCGTGTTTCATCGCCCTCTTCGAGTTGGATCAAGCCAAGGGAGGGTCCGCTGTATTTCTCCGGGATGTCTTTCTCGGCTACTACGCTTGGTTCGGGGATCTCATGTTCCGGGTTCTGCTTGATGAACTCACTCATGGCTGACCTCAAGGACTTGCCGATCTCGTAATCGGCAGCGGACCTGGCTGTAGCAACAGTAATCTGCGATCGAGAGGAAGTAAGGGTCTTCCCGGACGGTGTGATAAAGACGACTGACATGGGTCGCTCGTTCCTAGGCGCCGGCTCCTCCTCCTCGTTGAGACTGCCTTGGACGAAAAAGCCATACCTGGGGTGGACACGATGCTTGGCGACCAGGTCTTCGTCCATGTCCTCCTCGGTCTGGCATCGGGCATCGTAGTTCCAAAGAAGCGGGTCATAGTAAAAGGCATTTGTGTTGGGTTTATCGAGGTATTTTCCTCTGGCAGCGGCATTCTTGATTTTTGTGGAGTCGTTGGTAGAGTCTCTGAAGCCGATGTCAATGTCGTCGAACTGGAAAGGAGGTTTAACGGCAAAGCGGTTGTTCGCCTTAGGCCCTCGGTGAACTAAGGCCGTCCCATACTGGTCAAATTCGCTGAGGCCCTTGGGAGGATCCGGGGATCGTTGGCGTGGGTCAAGGGCAATGGCACTGGAGTCGTCGGCCTTGTCCTCCTCGTCAAGGTCGGGGGATACGCGGGGCGTGGCGGCAGCGGATTCGGTAGCACCGTCGTTATCTAAAGCAGCTGGCAGGAGGCCCATAATATGCCTGGCAGGTGCGTTGACGGGCTCTTCGGAGAGAGTGGTGATATCGGGAGTTTCGACGTCTTCGTCGTCATTGGTCTCAGCCCGCGCGGCGCTTCGAGTGGTGGGGCGCTTCGCTGAGGGCTGATTATCCGGCAGACCCGTGGCCCTTCGCTTTATGCCACTCAAACGACCTCGAATAGCGGAAGCCCTCAGGTCACGCTCACGTTTCGCCTTCGCAGCAGTCTCTTGAGCTGGCTTAGGAGCGTAGAGCGCATTTATCCTTTGGGCCTTTTCGTACATGGCGGTTCCTGGGACCCGGGAAGGGTAAGGGACAACAAATTCACCCTCCTCGTCGTAGGCGACGTATGTACCACGCTCTTCATATTCTTGATCACTGATCTTCTTGTAGTTGAATGAATTATCACGGACCTAAAGTAGCAAAGGTTAGTTGAATCGGGCTCAGCGTGGAAAAGAAGGCAGTGAATACTTACATCCGGGGGTACTTGGTGATCGAACATCTCTTCAAGGAGGCGGAGACGCTCCAGCTGGGCATCATAAAATCGATCAATGGCATCCTCAATGCCATTCTGCAGATATAAATGTCAGTAAATCACGTGAAAAGGAAGAAGAAGAAACACAGATTATGCTAGGATGAAAATGGACAATATATGGAAGCATGTGGAAAAGTTGATGTACATCAAGATTGTAAACAACGGAGACAGAAAAACGGGATGGATAGAAAATGGTGGCAATGCGGGATGGTCTATGGGGGAGTTGGGAAAAGGAAGGACGAACGAAGAAATGAAAAAGAAAAAGACTAGAGAGGATATACTCACTTCATGTTGTAGGCCGATAAACTCGCGATCCTTCTCAAAAGAGAGATTGAGGAGGGCCATCTCCTTATCATAGTCGGCTTGAGCCTCGTTGAGGACCTTGGTCAGCCTGGTATCAAGCTGTTCCGTGATGATGTCAAACTCGGGGACGGTCTTGTGGACCTCGGGGTCCTTCTTGAGCTTCTCGATATTGCGAGAGGCGAGTTCTTCCAGAGCGGGTTTCATGTGAGAAATGATGGATAGGTAGGCAGATTTGACTTCTCGCTGGCGCTCGTAGGCTGCCTGAACGCGAGGGTCGTTGTATTGCTTGATACGGCCGCGACGGCCCGTGGGGACTGGCTTCTTGACGCCAGCAAAGGTCTTTGCCTTGGCGAGGGATTTCCTCTTGCCTCTTCCTTTGCCTTTTCCGCGGCCACGTCCCTTGGAGGGAGTGTCCACCGCTGTAGGCGAGGAGGGAGCGACGTGCTCCTCGGGGTGGTCCTTGTCACTCATGATGGCGAGATCTGACAGTGAACCATGGGGATGATGAGGTAAAGTTGGAATGGGGGTTTTTGTAGAAAGAGACAGGGAAAAATTAGATGGGATGGTTTGTGATGAGAAAGGGAATCGGGAGATGGTGTTTTTGGGATGATGAAAGAAAAAGATGACTGGATCTGATGTCCTGATGAAAGTTGGATTGGGTATGGGAAGAGGGAAAAGAGAAGAACTCAGTTCTCTTGTGAGGGATGTTGTGGTATTTGGTAGAAGGGGGGGCGTGATAGAAAAAAACGCGACAGGGCTCAAGGAATCAAATCGAGGTTAGAAATGTGCAAAAGAGGAAGGAGAGGACGAGATGGCTATTGAGCCTATTCAAGATTTCTGATCTTGATGTGGGCGGGAGAGCGTGATATTCGCTCCTGCCTCGCCAGGGATGGGAGATTTTTATAACGAGATGAGGTTTCGCTGGCAAAGAAGCGCGGTCAGTGGAGTGGGTGATACTGAAACAGCGCATGCGTGACGAATAGAGAAAAAGAAAGAACAATATCCGCGCTTTCAAGAGACGATAAACAACTCGTCGAAATAACGGCAGAGAAGACAGGATGGCCGAGACGCATCAAGGGGATTTATTGAGACTTGAGGTGAGAAGAGATGGATGGCTGAATACCAGTTCTGAATAATTGCAACGCGGCGCCAATGGGCTGCGCCGAGCAAAACGGGCAACGGGCAACGGGCACACACCACCAGACACTTGCACCTGCCTTGTGAGTGGCCAGCGAGGTACACTACAAAGTACACCAGGAAGTACACCAGGAGGTACACCTGACAATAAGACACCAAGAGCCAAGACAATAAGAAAGGATACTTCTTAGAAAGTACCTCTCCTGATGTGGGTCCTCTCCCGACAAAACCGCAACAACTTTGCACCACCTCGGTCCCCCTAACCCACCCACTGAAGGCCCACTAAACCCACCGCCCAGCCTCTGTCCGCAACGATTCTTCGATGACTAAGCCTATCCGCAGATTCGGCAGTAACATAGCATCCATGTACCCCGGCAAATTGGGGAGAGTACCCTACAAATCTGGTAGTTTTTAGAGCAAGAATAACACCATGCCATTGGCCCGGTCCCTTAGTAAATCCGGTAAACTTCAATATTTCGTGCTTGTGATTGGCTGGAGCCATGGCCTCTAGGATTGACATGCTGCGCAGCAGTCGATTAAAGTAACAAGTAAGAAGAGGTGAAAGGGCTCGCCGGACTGCCTGTCCACTGACCTTGCTGGAAGGTTTTTTGCTGGCAAGGCCCTGCATCGATCGATCGCATTCTTCAGGCATTGACGTGCGTAGTTGTCTGTGAGTGCGACGATATGAGAAGGTGTCTGGTCCGGTGCGTGAATGTAATGATCTCTATGGCATAAGGGCAACTAATTAATCCGTTGAATGCGATCAGCTAAATACGGCCGAGGAGTCCCGCCTATCCCGAGGAAGCATGCTTCCTGGTATTTGAACCCCGTTTGGCTCCATGAGTGATAAGAGCATCGATGATTGATCCTTCTACTGCTCTCGTCTAGGCACAGTGATGGCAATGCGTTCGCCCGAGTATCCGGGCTTTTCGAGTCATCTACAGGCTACCGCATCCGGTTACATGCCAGGCAAGCCACTCCAAGGATCGCAGACGGAAGCTCCGCTTCTTCCGAGAAACACACTTGACAGCGGCTCGCTACATCTGCATACGTCGATTTCATATCAAGCAGGAATTCACCCTGTCGTCAGATATCGACCGGAGTTAACAAGGCTACGAGATGAAGATAGTCCGCTTGCTTCCCATCAGGCGGTGATGTTCGGAGCTGGCTCGCCTCAGTCCTATGCCAGCGAATGGACGAGGTGGATTAAGGTGACGCCCTAGATCCATTCGATACAATCAACAGGGAATTCCCATCGTGCCATCATTGACCTCCTCTGTCTTCCTATTCACGCTTCTCGTCCCAATCTGCAGTTTTGCCCTACTTCGTACCCTCGCGGCCCCAATTCCTTGGTCATCGTGTTAGCCAAAAACCTCAAGTAGGGTACAAATTTAAATCCAAAGTATCTCCGTACCGCAGAAAACCGTCCCCCAAAAAGTCACTCCATGCCCGAAGTCAAACGAAACCCGGAGTGACGCTGCAGTGGTACGTACCCTCACACTGCACGAATTCATGCCAGAATGCAGCTAGTTCGCACGCCCCAATTTCATTTATCGCCACGCCCCCAAGTCCCTCCCCACGCGTGAACCCGAGCCCGACCCGCCGGCGCTCGTCCCGCTGGTTAAATTGTTACTGGCAGGAGAATGCCCTTCTTAGTGGTACTTTCCCGTTTTAGAGCGGGCCCCTACACGATGATGTACTTCATCTGAAGTATTATGAGCGCACTTAAATATTCTGCCCTCCTTTTTGGGGTGGTCCAGGGGGGCGAAATTTTTCACTAACACTGCCAGTCTTGCTGGCTTGATGTGCCGCAAGGGACACCGCAAGATATTAGTTTCAGGAATTCGGAACATGAGGAATGAAGAAATTAAGAGGAATATGCAGCAGAGGAAAGAAATCAGAGATTCGAAGAGATTCGGTGTTTCTCTGTTGGACGGATTGTCTGGCCCAGTCGTTCTCCCAGAGTGCCGTAAATCGACACACGTCCGTAGCCATCAAACAAGGGACATGTACCACACGACTTGTCCGTTCTGATCAAGGGGTTCGGCGATCCTCACAGCGGTCCCACGACTTCGAGGAAATACTCAGCTCTATCATGCCAGTATCCAACGAAAATACACAGTACGAGCCAAGTTAAACTCTCTGAGCAATCTCCCCGACAGAGTACAATAACTTAAATCCAGAAACAGTTCAAGAATACCGAGATACGTCCGACCTGGACCTCATGCCATCCACCACAGTAGTCTTTCTGTCTACTTCGTTTCTTATGCCGCAGGCAGTCTGATAGGATCGACAGAGTCGATGTCTTCCTATACCTCGTAATTTTGCAGCAAAGGATCCTTTTCGGTAAGCCGATGCTAGCAGGATCCCATGTAGATGCTTCAACGTTGGGCCACGAGACTTCGACAAGGCTATCCCAGGGGAGTATCAAGATGGGAGGGAAGCGGCAATGAACTGGCAGTAAGTTGCCGGGCCTTGTATTATCGTAGCTCCCATGTAAGCATGAGATGCTTTACGTACGAAGCCAGAATGTCTATGACTATGAAGCATCTCGAATGCCTAGTTGCGCCCAAGACAAGCAATATTGATATCCGACATGTGCCTAGAATGTTCTTTTTATATAGCATACGAGGAAAGTGAGATTGTCTGCGAGGGGTTGGCGAAGGGTTTACAGATTAATGGAGAGCAAGCACTATCCAAATTCCTGAGTATAAATGTCTCCGGCTCTGCCTTGGGAACCTGTATTGTGTGTCCTCCCCATTCTTTCCCATTGATCAACGGATCCGACGTCTGTCAATTCTTGCGGGGGCTTTAAAGGGGCTCTCTGCAAGTTCTAGACCATTAGCCGCGCAGCTGTTGTTGCTTTTCTGTTTGTGTGATGTTGCCGTCAGAGCCGCACTGATCCGTCTCACTACGTTTCCGTGTGAAAAAGGCACAACCTCTTCATTCATTTGCTTGTTCTTGCCAATCGCAATATACGACAGCAGCCAGGGCAAATTTGCTCTCACACCATCGGTCGTATACCTTCAACTTCGCGGCATCAACCACCCTGGTCTGAGATAACCAAGTGTAAATAAAATAGAGAAAGAGCTACTATCTCCCTCTCCTTGGCATCAATCCTATCACCAACCACTTCTCTCCATCTAAACTCAGAACAGCCGCCAACCTCCTCCCCCTACCAAAGTAAGGCAGCCAGCAAGAGAAATGCACGAAGCCAAAAAGAGAAGCGCCATATTAAAGTAAAAAAAGTCTCCCGGCGCCATTATAAGACCTTATCGACCTCAACTATAATACATACCCGCGAAGCTAGCCCAACAAGGCCATCTCCTCCATCTCCGCCATCCCTCCCTCTCTCATCCAGTTCAAGATGCCACTATATAGAAAGGGAATCAGAAAGAAACGCAGTCATGCATGAAGCGAATGCTCAAATATATCCTCTCCCCTCTCCCTCGGCGCTAAATATATATGATGCAATACCCATCTTCTCGCCAAATGGGACGAGTGAAAAAGCGACAGGCCATGACGAAGTTCAAAGAGAGAAATGAAATCGAGAGCATAAAAAAGAATAACAATGGTTTGGTATCAATTCCACTCCTTGACATTGCCCCCGCCCCTTTCCTAGTGTTTCGCCGTTATGAGAAGTTTTCCATTTCTGACTCCCCTAGCAGGACCGAAGCCAGAAAGATTAATAAAAAAAGGTATGTGTAAAAAACAGAGCCAAGGTAAAATGAAGTAAAAAAGGAAAGGAAAAAAAAAAAGAAAACGAGAAAGAAAGGAATAAGAAAAAAGAAGCCATATGTGCCAAAGCTAATGTACAAACCAATGCATATTTTCCGTTTAAAAAAGCTCATGTTATCAATCCCCCTTTCTTAGCAATGACTCCAATGTTTTCGCCTTATCCATGAATTCGCTTCCATGTTCCGCTGCCCTTACTGCACCGAAACAGGCTCACTCATCGCCTCCGTACGCGCCGCAGCATCGCGAGCCTCGTCCTCCAGCCGCTGAGCTTCCTCGTTCTCCCTAATCAAGGCTTCTTCCTGGGCGCGGAGGTCTCGCTCTTCTTCAGTCATTAGGGCCTCCGCCGGCTCACCATCCTCTTCTTCAGGTGGCGGGGGAGGCGGGGGAGGCGGAGGAGGAGTGGTGGTGGTGGTCACCTCCATTTCTTCTACGCCATCCAACTCCTTCACGCGCTTTGATACAGGCTCGTGATGGTCATCTACTGGTGTGATAACTAGAGGCTCCTCCTCTTCAACCCGCTTGCGCTTCAGGCTCGGGCTACTAGGCGTCTGGGATGCGGCGGCCTCTTCGGGGCTCGAGCTGCCTCCAGGGGTTATATCAGCCATCAAGGAATCCTCTTTGGAAAGGACTCCATTGGGCGTGGCTAGGGCTGGCGGTTCTGGCACGCTGCTAGCGTGGTCGCCGTTCGTCGCCGGCTTGGCGCCTTCGCGGGCTGCCTTTTTCTTCTCGTGCTCCCTGTATTTAACGACGGCCCTGTCAAGGAAGTCTTTGACATAAGACTTGACCTTCTTTGATTGCTTATCGCTAAGAGTAGCTGTGGGGTCTTGAACGCGATTATTCTTATAGTCGGATGCAACTAATTTCTTGTTAAGCTCTTTGGCGAATCTCTTGAGTTGATCACGAGGAAGCTTATGCCGGAACTTGTCTAAAACATATTTGATATGAGGGAATATCTGAAGATTGGCACAGTCAGTCACAGAGCCTAGACAGGCACAAATGATAGATCGGGGTCGAAGAAAAAGGTGAAGATGGGAAGGGAAAGAAAGAAACTTACTGTATTTTCGTAAATCTTCATCTGCTTCTCGATCGGCAACTGCCGCCATTTCTCCGTTGGAGCGTCAAGCAGGGGCGTTTCGGAAGATTCGGGAGGCGTCTGAGTAGAAGAAGCGGGCGCTTCGGCAGCAGCGAGAGCCAGCCTGCGCTGCTCATTCGCCACGTCGTCGATAATCTTTTGGATGATCTGAGCATTCTTCTCTGCTTGCGTAGGTTGCTTGGGAGGCGCAGGTCGCTGCCAAGTCGTCTGGCCGTGTTTGTTGTAGTAATAAACTTGACGCTTCTGGTCGACAGCCACGAACCAACCCTCCGGTAGCGGGGTCTCGTTCTCGTGGCCGAACTTGGGCTGCCGATTACCACCACCACCGTGGCGGGGGAAAGGCTGGTGGCGCCGGCCGCCACCTCCCCGAGGACCGTGAGGGTTGCGCTGAGGCATGCTGTTCTTAGGTCCCTTGGGAATGTCGATATTAGAGGGTAGCGGCGAGACGGGTTTGCTAGCCGGTGTAGACGTTCCCGTGTCGCGATCATCGCCGACAACAGCATCACGGAGGGCTTCTGCGGCGGAGGTAGTTTGGGCATTAGGATCGACCTTCTTCCTCTTAATACGGTAGGCCACTTGGAGTTTCCCCCAATCGTCTAGAAGCCTCGTGGCGGTGGCTGAAATATCCTCATTTTGGGAAGTCTGGAGTCCTTGGATGGTTGCTTCAATATTAGAGTCGACGATCTTGTTCTTGGTGAGCCTCGGCATCCTGTTCAAGACGTCAAGCACCTGTAGGATGACATTATCATCCTCACTAAACGAGCTGATCATCGTCTTCATGATCTGGTAGGCGTGCATCCTCATGACGAGGCTCAGGACGTAGTTATCGTCGCACTTTTGGATACGTTCCAGGAGCTTGATGGCAATCCATTTCTCCTTGCACTGCATAAGCGCAGCCATGACCTTTCGGGCGCCATCCTCGTCGAGGCTACGAGCTTGTATGCTGTTAACATATTCTTCGTCGTCCTCGTCGGGTCGCTTCCGCCGAGGCTTCTTCGCAACGGTTGTATCCCAGCCGTCACCGTCCTCAATGCCGAGGGCTTCTAGGACTAGAATGGGGAGCTTCGTAGCCCGCTCGGTCTGGGTCTTGCCTCCAATGAAGCCAACACATCCAGGTTCTGCACAATAACAAGGCTGAGGATCCGCGCCGTACCGGTCGACATTGTAGTTGAACGTCAATTCCTCGCCAGCGTGGATCTTGCGCAAGACAAAGATGCCCATCCGTAACTTGTCGCCAACGACCCACTTGTCAACGTAGCAGTTGGGATTGCACGAGTGGTTGCAAAAACGGCCGAGGTTGCCTTTCTTGGTCGCGTCGACGAATTCGCCTTTCGTCAGAGACATGAAGTAGAAGTGCTTGATTCCCTCCTCGTCATATTGAAGCATTCGTCTCCGGAAGGTGGGCTCGTTGATGACCTCACCAACATATTCGAAGACAAAATCGTTTGCGTCGAGATCGGTATTCGAGCGTAGACCATAGCCCTTCTTTTCGGTCTTAATGACGGACACGTTTGCGTACTGCTTTCGCTGAAACCGCTGGTTCTGACAACTATCACCGCAACTTCCCGATGCGCCAATGACGCACTCGACACGGGTCGCGCGGTTGATACAGTCTTCACCGCAGGCGTAGTTGACGCCATCATCTGCGCAAAACACCACGGTTAGGGCCGGCCACGATACATCGCATGGACGAACCGAAAAGAATGGGACCTCGTTCCGCCGGAACTTGGGCCACTGGGGGGGTTGGGGATAGGAAGGGAAAAAAACTTACGCCAATCTTCTTTGCAGTCGCAATCGAGCGCATCATTATCCGTCGAGCCCATATTTTTCGAGCCATAGAGACAGTCGGCAATCACCTTGAAGGAATTACACGCCTCTTCAGTCGCGTCTGGTAGGTCGTCGAATAGCTTTGGCTCTCGCTTCAAAGGTTTTTGCGAAGCCTTGCGAGAGAGTCTTGGCGGTTGGGGTTCATCGGGGGTGGCAGAACCCTTGCTCGCTCCGGTTTCGTTCTCTCCAGGAGACATTGTGGAGTTTCTTGACTCTCTCTTGATTCCGTTGGATCGCAATGCGCGACCACTCGAAGTGGGCACCAAGTCGAGTTCGTTCGAGGCGAGGGCTTCCCCGAGCTGAATATTGGCCATTTTGGAGGTGTTCCGCTCTACATCACCCAAGGAAGCCGGCATCGAATGTATGCGTGGGGAATTCGGAAAGAGATTGGGCTCGAGTCGTCGCGATGAGACTGGGAAACGCGGATTTTGCAATTGAAGAAGGGTCGTATCGGGATATCAGGTCGTCGCAAGAGAGGAGAAAAGGGAAAAGAGAGTCGACGAAGGTGGACGGGACGAGGGGAAGTGGTGGAAAATTCGGTTGGCGAAATAGGGAGGAAGAGAAGTATGGCGGAAGGAAAGGGGGGTCGGGGAAGGGTCGCTACTGCTAAGCCGATATTTTGGGATTGCGACTTGCAGCAAGCGGTATTTGGTGAGAGTTGGTGACAGACAAGAGGCAGGAGGGCAGACGCAGTCCGTGACTTTGAGAATATCTGAGGTCAGATTTCCTTTGGTTCAGGCGAGTGGTGGTATTTAACCGACTTTTAGCCAACAGCGGAGATCTAGACGTGGGGAGTTGAGATGTTCGTGGACGATGAACCACACAGGGCAGGGTACTGTGCGGGGATTCTAGGAAGAGTTTGAGGGTTTAGCAGGGTCTGCCATTCCATGAAATCGATCAATTTCATCGAAGGACCCTAGACCGCAGGCCAATTGATGATTGACTGTAATGATAGTGCGGACGGCGTTGATTATAACTGAGCCCAGCCGACCAGGGCAAGGGGCGATTTGATGCTGACTAGAGATCCACAGGCGACATAACAATTTCTGGGGGTGTTAGTTCGTCCCTCTGCGCTTTCCTTCATTAACAGCGCTTTCTATCTTTGGGGGACTTCCTGTGGAAACCAAGCAACTAAGGAAGGCGCTAAGTTTGTCGAAGCCATCAATTCATGGATTGTGCTTGCGTACTTTAGGCAAACTCTAATCAAAGCAGCCTTTAGTTCGACCTTGACGGCGTCCCTAGGGACCAAGGAGTAGATAAAGTGCATTTGATATCTCGTACATAGGACGTTCGCGCTCTCTTTTGAAGGTGAGAAGAGTTGCTTCGTCCCAACTTCTAAGGAGAATCATGGGGAAGTGATCAGCTGTTTGACATCTCACATCGCCATTGTCTGATTGTTTATGATATTTGATTGTACCAAGTATAACTTAGTGGCAACATTATAATCCAGTTTCCTGGAATACCATCATCTCTCTTCGAGATTTCGGTGAGTCTCGGTGAAGCCTTCCCTCCCGTAGTGAGAAAAGTGGGGCCGGTGAATGTACAATCTACAAGGTCACTTAAATTCGTCAATACCCGCTCCCATATGAACCCCCACACACCCTAGCCCTGCTCAACCTGGGGTCAACCAAGCCAATCAACTTACACCACTAACTGGGATACCGTTTCCTTGTCGCAGCCACGAAGGCTCCTTCCGAAGTGTGATAAAAATAGGGAGCAGGTTGAGAAGCTCGGAAGGGAATATCGACGATTTCGAGTGCTTCGAAAGATTCATAGTTTTCTGTCTCACCGGACACGCACAGTTGACTGAGCTGAAACACTTGAGTCCGACGTGGTGGGTGTTACTCGAACTGCGCTCTGGAGGGCTTACAATATCCCAGGATCCAAGAGCCGAAGGCTTGGAAACGAAGAGAACGGTGGCAACGGCCGATTGGATTGCAAATGTAAGGTTAAAGAGCATATTATATATAGTATAGAAATATAGAGTAGGAAATAGATGGGAACGCTCCGTCCACGGATTGATAGGACAATGTGAATCCATGTTGACATAACCATCCAATCGCATTGGGAATTGAACTTCCAGTCGACAGGCAACTAGCAAAGACATGGGGCACTAACCGGTGTATAATGTTGCGCATTTCGATTTCAATTCCAGAATTGCAACTCTGGACATCTGCGGGTTCGCTAACTCCCGTTTTACCAAAGTGAGTGTCGTCAATTTCTAAATAATGCGATTGTTCACCGCTTGTTTCCAGCTTGCCGTGTGGTTGCGTTGGGCATCCTTAGCTACCCAAATAGGGCTCAAACTAACACAGGCATCCCCGCCTGGCTAACACGGTATTAAGCATACAACCCATTTGACTCATATTGGAAACACGGACTAATATCCTTGCTGAATTGGAGGGGTTGTCTCTCACCGTCGAGGACGAGAGCCTTGGGTCTTGATCAAGGAACGAGGACGGATTAAGAAGACAAGTCGGGACGATAATGATTTGCCCCCAGATCGCGGGGTTGGGACGACGATTATTTAGAGGAGAGATTGGCACAATGGTGGCGACGGAGGCATAGCAGATTATCAATCGCACCCGGGAAACTTGGCTATGGCGGACTTGGAACCCCAAAACGTGGGTGGATCCCGGCAAACACGATGCCAACTCATTGTGCATATCCTCCCTACCCGGACCAAGAGGAAATCCGGGGCCGGTTGAAATAGAAGGGAAGGCGAAGCAAGTCAATGACGTGTTAAAGGTCTTGCGTTCCCCAGGGAGAAGTGCATAATTGGGCTCGGACGACAGAAGGGTATAAAGAGGGAACATGCGCGACACATCCCCCAGGTTGAAATGAATAAAAGTCTGTGAAGTGAGGGTAATCGCGTCCACGGTCGCCTCTAAATATCACCAAAAGCGCAACGGCTGCTGTCGATGGGCCACTCTGCTGATGGAAGCAGGTGGCATCGAGGTGGCTTGTCTTGATATCCTGATCCTCAGCCTTCGATCAGGCCCAATTCTCCACCAACCCCGATGATCACAAAACGAACCACAAAAAGCAAATCGAGAAAATGTGATTGCGGCTCTCTCCGTCAGAGATGTGACGAACTCATGGTATGTGCTGTGGGAAGCTGTCTTGAGGTCATGATTGAAGAGCACTGGTCAGCCACTTCCAGTGGACTATGCCGACAAAATTTCAACGCCAAAAGTCTGCCCGGGATGCGGTATCCAATGGGCAATCAGAAGTGTCTCTTCCGGGCTCGCCAGGCCCCAGCGATTGGTTGGGTGACACGACTTGAACGGGAGGCAAACGTCCTCGCAAGTTTGAAAGGTGTCTCTCTCTTTTTCGTTTCTTCTCTTTATTTTTCTCTTTATTTCCCTTTTTGGTCCATCTTCGGACGCTCACACATTTTGTGAGTGTTGCAGGTCAGCAGGATATCTCCGCTTGCAATGGCAGCTGAGCAGGCGGGTTGATGAACCAATGGGAGAGATTCAGCCATGCGTCCCCAACCCATAGACTGGAGAATTCGACGCCTCCTTTAGCCCCAGACGGGGGCACAGAACCTGCTGTGCTCTGCCGCTTGCTCGATTCGGATGGCAAGAGGATGCGGGCGCCAGAATTCGGTGAAGCCTGTGGAAGCTAGCGCTTCTTACAAGCCGCACGAATGTCGATTGTCACCCGCCCACCCCCGCTTTCATCCCTACCCTTTCGACGCCTCACAGGGTGGAGTGTACAAGTCGAGTCGAGGTTTAGTGTGGAGGGGCAGCTTGATCAAAGATTGGATCTGTGCCACACCTCGGATCGCATCCACCTGTGCGCGTGAGCAGACGCATGACTTCTTCCTTTCTTTTTTTGTGGATTTTTCTAGTTCACATACAGATGCGCTTTCTGTTTTGGATTGAATGGATTGAGTGGTGCTTTCCCGGGTTTCCCTTGGTGGACTTGATCTTACGTACATTGGTGGAGTCCATCAACGTCAAGTACCGTTCTGGGAGGAAGGAGGAGAGGACGGGCGTGAAGGTGGCAATGTCTCAGTGCTGCATTGCAAAGGCGGCTACAGAGAGATATCCGTGGCGAGGTGCCCACGCACAGGGTCGCTGGTCGCTTGTTTCGCCCACCGACTACGACAGACGGGAGACGGGCTATGGACCGCTGAAGCCTAGAGGCTAGAGACATGCGTCTGGTGCATATTAGCACGAAGTACTAAACACTACGGCATAACTTAGCGACATGGGCAAGGTCCCGTCGCCGCCATCCCGTGGTTGCAGGCGTAGCTGCATCCGGCCACAGCAGTTCTGGTTTCATTGATCTGATGTTTATCCCAAGACATCCATAGGCGGACATTGGCGCCGACTTGCGCAGGGTCGAATTGATGTTCTAAATCGATTGAATCGGGGATGCATTTGCTTGGCCGCAGAAGCGCAGGTGCGACCCTGGCCGGCGATGTTTGCTGAAGGTGCAGGTGCGGCCTGGAGCCTGGCAATTGAAGAAATTCATGTGAGACGCAAGCCCCTCCCTGGTCAGTCAAGGTACCTGCATGGAGCGTCTGTCCATCCTCTGAGCAAGACCATCGATGGGGGCGAGCGACAGGACTAGGACCCTTCTGTCATTTCTATTCTGCGCTCGAAATTGCCAACCCTCGCAGCCAACTGGGTCGGGTCTAATCAAATGCACGCCTGCAGTCACTGCAGCATTCGTCCGATATTGCAGAGCGCCAATGACGGGGAGGACATAATCCTTAGAATCCCACTCAAACGGTGAAACATCGAAACACCACGGAACAACAATGTATAATGAGTGGATACGTCGCTCTTGATACGCAATCCATCAATGCTTGCTTGTGCATCGTGGTGTCCACATCGTCGATGCCAATTCGCCATCTTCGCAACCTGCGGTGGCATGGGCGCGTGGTACGGGTTGATCGACCTTTACTTGTAAGGTCCGTACCAGCAACACAAGCAATATTGCCAGGTTTTGTTTTTCGTTTGACAGACGAGGTCACAGCTTGCAGATCGGTTCGCCAAGCAGAGCTCCCTCACTGAAGCGTCACTCGGCTCGTCGCATCTTCAAACCTCGCTTTTCGTCCCGCCATCCAAGTATATGCCTTGAGATTTTTGTTGTCGCATTTGCTGGGCTTCTCTTCACAGATCTCCCACATCTTTCTCCAACATTTGAGATCGCCTCTCCTATACGCATGAGCTCCACGCCAGTTAGAGCATCGACGGAAATAGATATATTGCGACTCGAAAGTATATCAGCCTTTTCTCTGGACTGCCGCAGACCTACGAAGTCAAAAAGCAAGTGGGAAAGGACAACTTCAGGTCACTTTCGATCCCCCCAAGTCCTCGCTACCTCAATACCTTGCAGTTTGGCTGGCGTCGGTATCTTTTACGTACCAGTTGATAGTGTCGGTTCTACTCCTTGGCTTTGCGAACCAACATTTTGGCTGCGCCAAGCAGCCTCCATCAGTGCATCTCTCCTGCAAAGTAACTAGGCAGTACCACACGGGTACATGCATGACCCGTCATCGTTTGGTACAGGTCCTCGTCTCGGCCAAGGGTCATCCTTGCCTGCATCGCTAATCCACATCAAGCCAGAGAGGTAAATTTCCCAAGCACCGCACACTAAAAAGCTATCCAAAGCCTGAAGCTCAACCTCTTTTCTTGAGGCTTGAGTGGTTCGCTGGCCACGGTCAAAGAACGGAGAGGAGAGCTTGAGCACATACCCTCATCATCCAACATCCACTCACCGAGACCCAACGGTGAAAACAGGAATAGTGCATCGGGCTTACCCTGGCCCCTGTCTGACTAGTGACTGGCGAGCTTAGACTACCTCTCTCATCAGGTCGCGATATTGAAGATTGAAACTTTTCCCAGCCACCTTTTCCTTCGTCTTCCACGCATTCGCGCATTCCCATTCCCCGGACACCGTTTTTCTTTCTTCAATACCTTCCACCCCTCCCCTTGCAGGAGTTGGACCCTCCCCCGTCTTCGCATGCCGAAAAGGAATCAATCCAATCCCTACTACTTCTGCGTCGTGGCGCCCCTGTCCTTGGCAAAGAAGATTGAACTTTACTACCCACCGAAGGAGCCTTTCTTCTCACTTCTCGGCGAAGACCCAGCATAGTATCTACGAGCCGTGCATGATACGATTGGGACCAGACAACCTCAACCTACCGTTTTGCTTCCCACGGCCCCTTGCAGGGCCATTCTTCCGGCGACCTCTCCCAAAGACGCGCGCTTGAGTGCACTATCGCGCGTCTTCTAAGTTCCAGGTTCTGCGCCTCTCCTTCTGCCTGTGTCCCACTATTTCCGAAACGAGCGGCCTCAATCTGTTCGCCAAATCCAGCATACCACCTCAACCTGGCCTGCCTGACCTCCCCCCTCCATCTCCACCACACCCCTCTCGTCGCGTCGTTGCTTCGCACCTAGGGCGGACGGACTCGTCCTCTACTCGATATCCCCACCTTCCAGCGTTAAACTGAGAGTCGCGAGGGTTGCGGGACGTGGTGGGCGCTTCAATTTTAACGCTCCTTCATTCATTCCCTTCTCCAACCTTTACCTAGTAACTTCCTCATAAAAGTTTCTTTCGTCCCCTCCCTCGCCGCTTCTTTTTAACCCCTTGTCACGTTTCCTCTTCATTACCTTTCCGTATGAATACTGTTACCCGCCTGCTGCCTTGACTTTGTCCACGACGGTAAATCCAGGTACAAAATAACCCACCCTTGTTTCCTGACTACCCTCCCGACTCCCCTCAACCAAGGCATGCCTGCACATTGCAGAGACATGCCGGTCAACTACTACGAAGGGCTTCGTTGTAGTATCAGATAAGGATCCTGTTCCTGGAACCATGGGATCACCGTTTACCGACGAGGAGAAGGTAGGTTAGGCCTTAAGGGTTTTTGCTGGTTTCTTCCTTTCTGAAGTTCTCTTCTCCTCTGACTCATTGGCTTTCCTACACAGCGATTTCTCCTCGCCGAGATGATCAAGGTTAGCAAAGTGGATGTCCATGCTCTCGTAGAGTTTGTCAAGGCCAATCGCGTGGAGCAAAAATGGTATTCCATCCAGGTCCCAACGGGTAAGTGTCAGACAAAACCCCTTCTTCTGTCTTCATTGCTTCCATCACCTCGTAGTGAAGGAGAGTAGTAGGTCTTAACTGGAGATATTGTTGCAGGCCGGAACCTCGAGCAATGCTTTCAAGCTGCGGAGAGCATGTTTGGGGCGCCCATCTCCCCACCGAGCCTTCTGCGAGAAACGCCCTCGACCCAACAGATGCCGTCTTCCTCCTCCACGACAGCTCTCGCCCCTCACCCTTCCCTCCCCACGGTGCCGCAACCACCAGAAGCATTCCCGACGGATTCCTCCCTACCTCCCATATCCGCAGTAACTCCCGGAGTAGCAGTGCCGCCGAATCGAAGCTCGACTCCTCAGCATGTCCCCATTCAGCCGCGGCCCCCGACCACTATTAACGGCGTTCCAAACCTAGCGTCTTCCCTCTCCGCAGAACCGCCCGCAAAGCGGCGTCGCGGCCGACCGCCTCGTCCGAAGACGCTCCATAACCGATCTGGGGCTGGCGGCACGAAGTCTCTCCCACCTCTGGCGCCGCTGCCCCCGTCGTCGACTGCGTCCCAACATCTCTCAACGCCGACACCGATTGCGCCGTTAGCAGAGAGCAGCACCCAGCGCACTCTTTCGCCTGCCTATAGTGTGTCCGCTGGAGCGAATTTCGAGGGCCTATCGGCGCCAAGAGGGCAGAAACGCGGTCCACCGGTCAAGGATGATGAACAGCAGCACGTATGTGCCCATCCCCGCTTCATACCCCCTCTAGGTGACACGGCACCTCTGACACCTTTATCGAAGAGCACGTCAGAAGCTGCAGCGAGCGCCCTGGGCGCGCAGAGCATGTCGTCAACCCCAAGACCAGATAGTACACCCGGTCCGCAGCGTGAATGGCCGCTGCAACCGGACGAGGACAGGAGCAACAGGTTGCAGACTCTGGCAAGACAGGCCACCACGCCGCCACCGCCGAGCACGACTCAATCGCAGCAAGGGGCGAGTCCGTTAAGCGCAGCGAAAGCGACACCCGTGAGGACGTGATGGGATGAATGTGGGTGGCGGGAGAGGTTTCTTTGGCATTTACGACAACGACAGTTTTGTTTTGCGACGAGGCCCGAAGATCATTGTAACGACTACACAGAAAGTACGCGACATCCGAAAGATTTGTCTATTCGAAAGGGAGAATTCTTCTTCTTCTTCTTTACAAGATTTCACCTTTTTTTGGCCCAGAGCCGCATTGGAGGAGGATAACATACATACATGAGACGACAGCAACGCGAGCATATACCCCTGAATGTTTTCGAACGACGTTTCTAAACGCAACCCATCTTGAGCTCCTGGCGCAGGTCGTCTGTTATCAAGGAACTCGAAAACCCTCGACAAAAAACACTCGAAACGACCTCTTTCCCGACCTGGGTACGCCATACTGCTTCTTAATCTCTAGCGAGACAGAGGTGATACAGCCATACTTGAAGGGCGATGTTGATCGCCACGGCATGACGAGCAGGAATTGTAACACTACCTTTTATTTCTCTTTTCACGAGCAAAGCCCGGCGTTTGTTCCGAGCCGCGAAGACATAACTTTGATACTCTATTCCCCGGATGTTAGGCGCAGGTAGCGAAGGGACGGTTTTCTTTCGATTTTTCCCTCTTATGTTTTGTGAAGTGGAGCTTTTTATGTTTCCTTTTTTTTTCTATGGGGGAGTAGGCGTTTTTGTTCCATCACTTGTGTATGACTATTGTACATGTAGCTATGTACGGAATAAGAGGCGGAGAAGGGGGGTGATGGGTGGGATTCGGTATGGAGGATAGAGATGTACAGTAGATGAGAAGAAACGGAAAGAAACTATTCAGTAATGATGGAATGGTCCTTACATGTGTATGCCTGCTTCTCTCCAGTTGTCGTCTGTGTGCGCACTCTCCGTGTTCTCCGAGTAATCCTCGAGATTGAAATTTCGAGATGTTGGGTATTGTGCGAGCTGCCAAGGCATCTAGAGCATTGGTGTACCTTGTTCATTCACAATCTATATTGACTCAATACGGGAGAAAGAATCTTTAGATTAGAAACGATGGATTTCAACACCTATTTATTTCGAGAGCACTTTTTCGTGTCTTCCCAAACCAGACCAGACCTATCCGATCAACCTCCCCCACCAGAAAACCAACAAGGGAAAAAAAAAATATCCACCATCCGCAAATATTACTCCTTGAAAGACAAAACAATCTTCTCCAAAGCATCAACAAGCAAATCCGCATGCCTCTCCTGGAACGTCAACATCGGCCTCAACCGAATAGCCTCCTTACCCGACCCACCAATATTAATGCCAAACTTCTTCGCCCTTACCAGGAACTCGTCGCGCCTGGGGTTATCGAAGGCGATGAACGTGCCGCGGTCCTTGCCGCGGAGGTTCTCGAACTGGCCGGGGTACTTGGCGGCTAGAGCCTCGAGCTTGCCGTAGAGGTAGTTGCCGACGCGGGCGGTGTGGGCGACGAGATCGAGACGCTCGATCTCCTCGATGATGGCGCGGAAGATAATGGCGCGGGCCGGGTCGCCCATCCAGGTGTTGAACTGGCGGTAGGGCTTGTTGGGGCGGAGCTCGGGGTTGCCGAAGTAGTAGCCGGCAGTCTGGGCCTTCTTGGAGAAGGTGACCATGTCCGGGGGCTCGGGGAGGTCCCAGTGCTCGTGGGCCCAGAACTTGCCCGTGGCGCCGACGCCGGTCTGCACCTCGTCGACGATGAGGAGCACGTTGTGCTTGCGCGTCAGCGCGCGGAGCTTGCGGAAGAAATCGGGAGAAGCGTGATTATCGCCGCCCTCGGATTGGATGGGCTCGACGATGACGGCCGCGGGGGGGTTATGGTACGTCTTGATGAGGTGTTCAACCTCGTCCAGCGACGCCTGCTCGGCGGCTCGGTTCTCCTCGACGTGCTTCTCGAGCGGGTACTTCAGCTGGGGGAAGGTGGCCTGGGGCCAGTCGAAGGCGGGGATGTCGACCTTGTGGATGGGCTTGGACCGCGTCGTCGACAGCGTGCCAAAGAGTCGGCCGTGGAAGGCCGTCTTGAAGGAGAGGATGGAGAGGTTGGAGGTTCCGGGCGCTTGGTTCTGCATGGCGCTGTTGAGCTCCTCCTCGGTGAACTCGACGTGGTGGCCGCCGCGCTCGTGGGCGCGGCGCCACATGAAGGCGGCCTTGTAGGCAGTCTCGTTGGCGTCGGAGCCCGCCATGGCGGTGAAGACTTGGTTGAGCCCCTTGGGGGCCACCTTGAGGATGCCCGTCTTGAGGATGTGGGCCCAGTCGTGCGGGGGGAAGGTACCGAGGGCGGGGCGGTTGACGAGACCGTTGATCGCCTCGTGGGACTGGGCGGCCTTGATGAGGGCAGGGTTGTTGTAGCCGACGGGAATCGAGGCAATCTGGGCGTATCTGTATGCTCATGTGTCAATGGGTTTTCCTTTCGTTTCTTTTCTTCTTTCTTTTTCCCCTTTCAACAAGCCACAAGGTCGCCGGCCCCGTCAACAAACTTACACGTCCAAAAGCAAGTTTCCATCACGATCAGCAATGAAATTGCCAAAAGACTTGTCGTAATCCGTCAACAAAGACAAGGCACGAGTATCAAAGACCTCGTTCAGCTGTTCAATCTCCTTCTTCGACTGGGGCCCGGGAATGTCGGTCTTGACGACCGGCGCCTCGGGCTCGCCCTGGTAGAAGGGAGCGGCGTTGGATGGGGCAGCCATTCTGGTGACGGCGGTAGTGCTGAGCAACCTCGACTGGCGGGCGATGACGGGGAGCGGGCGGAGGGTTAGAGCGGGGGTCGCGATCTTGGAGGGGCAGATGAAACGGGACGCCGCGCGGAGAGCCATTGTGTAGGTGGGAGAAGAGAGGAAAGGAACCTTATATACTAAGCTGGGCGTTAGGCTTCAAGCTCCCTTTTGAGTGGCTGTCCCTTGGATATCTACGGCGGACTTACTCGGGGAAGAGGGGTACGGGACGCTAGAGGGGGGGGGCCAGGCTCTAGAAAAAAGGTTCGATACCTTATGATCCGAGTCTGGTAGTCCGAGTCTGATAGCCGAAATTGTTGTGGATTGGGTGGTGTTGCGGCTGGGTTAGAGTCTCGAAGGATGCGGACTAGCTTTCCGACGGAGGCCGGGGGAAGAGAAACATGCACAGAAGCCAACCCAATTGATCAATTCAGATTAGGTACTGAAAAGCCAAAAGGGGACCAGTAGAGAGGAGAAGCTTTCAGTCTGGTTGGGGGTAAGGTGACAGTGGGCTGGATTGACACGATAATGAGGGTGGGAACAAGTGTCTGATATGTGATGAGAGGGGCCGTGGAGTCGAGGAAGGCGTTCCCCGGCCGCGGAGCTCAGTCAGGTCGGGGTACGGTACAATTGAGGGCAGGTGAGGGGCACTGTGGGGTCCGGGTTGTGGCGGCATTGACCGGAGCTACAAAGCTACAAGAGACAAAGCTACAACCATTTGATGGCTTTTGATTCCGTCTGTGTGACGCCATCTGGATTGATCCATCGTCGATTCGTTCTTGCAGTAATCCGCGAGTACTTCGATCATCCCAGCAGCTTCGCCTTGTAGCTTTGTACACTAGCTTTGTAGCTTTGTCACATTGTCCCTTGTAGCTTGTAGCTTATCAAACGGGCGCTCCTCCCGTATTATACCAGCTACTGGCAGCTAGTGCAAGCATGTCTGGACACATTCTTGCCATTTCCGGAAGTTTTTGTGGACACAGCTGGGTTGGGCGCGAGGACACTACTTTCGTACTAGGTCCAGCCCTTCGCCTTCGATGGCAAATCGCCAATGTCAATTGACCAGTGGGAGCACGAGGAATAACAAAGTACCCGAGTCCCAATGTTCCTGATCCTTCGTGCCAATCTCCAAGTCTAGATCTCAACGTATCATTACAGTACGTGAATGTCAGAGGAGTACGTCCCCCAGTACGTCCCCGCATGCGCTGTCACGGGGACCATCCTTCAATCCAAAGTGCATGCAGCTATGACAGGATAGGCAGTACATGTACAGTCGCAGAGCCGCCCCCTCTCCGATGCGCCTCCGAACCGACCCCTCATCAACATCTCTCCACCCTTTTGTCCATGATCGATATCTCGAATCCACCTTTTCTAGAAACTCGATGCGAGGTTGGTTCCTCGTCTCCGATCGGTCCGAGTGTACGACAACGGTCCCCTAACACGGCTGAAACCCAGGCCGGACATCGTGACTATCTTACTCGCCCCTCGATAAATCGGAGTGTCATATCGAACATTCGATTACGAGATTGTATTCAGGGACCCAGCTGTGCTCGCATTACGCTAGTGCGCCCTGAGATCCATCACAATTACACGTTCCTGGTTTCTAGCTTGGCCCGACCGGCTCATAGCCGGCCATCGGAACCGGCAGGGGAACCGGGAGTCTGCGAAGGTACGAACTTTAGTCAGCCTCGGAGATCTCCAACACGAGCTACTACTAAGTGGACAGCCAGAAAGGGAGTGAGAGGTCTGGTGGTAAATTGAGAAGATTTTTGGAATCTAGCATCTTCAGTTTTAAACCTTCACTCAGTTCCTAAGTGCTACACTTGCCGGGTATCATTCGCTTGTAGCTCACAGGCAAGCCTCCTAAGATCATCATCGCTCCTTCCCCTCAACGGCCCTTCTCCCTGTGTCTCTGCCTCTCCCTTTCCTTCTCCTTCTCCACCTTCCTCCTCTCCATAAACTCCTCCATACCAACATGAATCCTCAACCCCTTCACCTCCATAGAACTATACCCCGCCTTCAGCTCCGCCGAGGTCATCCCCCTCACCAGCGTCGTAAATACTTCCATAGCCAGGCCCTTGGCCCACGGACACCGCCCAACCCCGCGGTAATACGCCCGCTTCGCCGAGTCCCTCGGCAAACCCTCCGCCCGCGCCCGGCAGAAGCGGACGTAGCACATCCACAACCACGCGCTCGATGACGAACCGACCGCTTCACTGGTGTCAAAGAGTGCCCGTGAAAAGGCGGCTGCCGCAGAGTACGTCGAGCCGCTAGCGCCAAGTTCGTGGGTGATGGCGCACACGCGGAGAGCTATGCTGTCTTGGTTTCCAATGAGGACTTGGTCATTGAGAACGTTGCGGAATTCGTCGTCGATGCGGAGGGTAGAGGCGACCCAGTCGAAGAGCGCGAGGAAGTTGACGTTGGTTGGGAAGAGTTGGATGCACCGTCTGAATTGGTCGCTAAGATACACTCGCCGATATGGCCTAAAACGAATCAAAAACGGCCGGGTCAGCAGGAGAGGACGAATATAAAAACCAAGGTAAGAGCGTAAAGAAGTAAAACTCAGTTGTCAAACAACTTACCCCATAGTCGTGTGGCGATACAAAAGCATCGAGGCGAACTCGAGGAGCTCTTCATGCTGAGAGCATTCCCCGTGGCCATGAATCAGGAGCCTCTCCGAGTGCTTCCAGATGATATCCATCGCCGCAGAAATGCTCCCTTGTTTCTCAGACTTTGGTTCTGAACTAGCATCTGAGGAGAGGTATTCGGCGAGTGCGAGAAGCTTGGCGTTGACGACGAACCCATAAATGTCATCCCGAACAAACGCATTCTCAGATTCCATCCTGAGCTCCTGCTTCTTCTTCAGCACAAATGTTAGAGGAAGATTTGAATCCCCCTCGTCAGGGATGAGGCATAACCGGCTCAACACGGTAGATGTCTCAGCCTCATTCATGAATTCGATCCAAGCCCATGTGAACCAGAGCTGGCGCGTGGATTCCAAACCTGTGGGCTGGCTAAGCTGGGTGGCTGAGGATAGGACCTTTTTCGCCAAATCAAAGTTGCCGTTGGCCCACTCGAAGAGTCCGTATAAGTTATAAAGCCCGATGTTCTGTGAATACTGCTTGATGAGGGTTCTCGCGGCTTTTCTAACCGAGCCTGCGTCCGCGATCCACTCCAGTGCCAGACAATATCCTGCCAACTCCTCGTAGCCCGCCACCACGAGCGTTTTCAGCGTCAACAGTACCCACGAAAACTCAACCGGGAGCTCGTCCTTATTAACGCCTTTAAACGAATGAAGAAGCGAGCAAATGTGCTTGGGTGCGACTGCCGCCGTTATGGCTTTCTTGAGGAATTCTGGCGGTGATCTTGTAGTTGAGTCGTCTCCCTCGGGGTACTTTCGAGGCTCGGCATGGGATACCAGGTGCTCGAAAGCGAAATCCCTCTGTGAGAGATGGGCATCGGTCTTCCAAGCTCTCTTGGACGAGAGGGGCGGAAACTCGCAAAATGTAAGGTATGCATCCAGGAGCTCCCCCTTGAGCTCAGCCAGAAGATTACCAGGGATGATAAAGGGTAATCCCTCCAAGTCGGAGTACATGATAAGCCTAAAGGGATCCTCCAAATTATCTTCGTCTAGCGTCCGGGCGGGCATTCTCGACCTCCTCGATCTGTACAGCTCCTCCACTGCCCAAGCCTTGTAGGCATCTCTGGATGGAGTCCCCTGTGGACCAGGGTCGGGTGCCGCGGGCTCGGGAACATTCGAGTCGTCGCCGTTCGTGGTGATGAAATAATTCCATCCCCTGGCATCTGGTTCACCTAGCCTCGGAACCTCCGACTCCCAAAATGTCTGAAAACTTTCAGGAACGGGGCCGGAAGGGTTAGGAAACTCGGGACCTCTTAGATTCAACTCGAGGAGCGCCTGCCAAGCTGCCACAGACAGTTCTCTGTAGCCGCAATCATAGAAGAATCTCGTAGCTCGTAAGAAAACGTAGATGAGCTCGCTGTAGAGTGCCTTCTGTTTAACCCTTATAACCTCCTCTGCGACTTTCCCACTTAGCAGCGCTAAACGGTCAAGAAAAATCTTCTTGACCGTACCGTACTGGAAGGACGCGATGTTCGAGAGCTTATAATCGAGATATAATCTCCAGAGCAGAAAGCTGCCATCCACCTCCTTCTGGATCTTCTTCCAATGCGCATCCTGCACAGGCACATCCCAGACCTTGGCGCCTTCTCGCACCTGGCCTACGAGTAGCTGTTCCTTTTGGAAGGGATTCTTAACCTGGGCCAATGCTTTTTCGTACATGGAAAGTTTGATCTCCGCGAAGCTCTTTACCTCATCGATTGGGATGTCTTGGCCACTCCCACCGGCCTTCATGAGAAGGTCTTGGTGATTTATGAGCTCTATCCAGGCGGGGATGTCGTCCGGCTTGTCCTTTACTCGACGAGTGAGCTCGATTGACCTCTCCTTGAGAGGATCAAGTTCCACTACCGTGTCCTCCTCCTCCTCCTCCTCCTCGGCTGATGATTCTAATTCGGTATCGCCGCCTGATGCGCCAGCGGCCTTCGCTTTCCCTTCTATGGACCTGTAATCGGGTCCATGTTCGCATTCATCCTCCTCTGATTCTCTCCCACCTCTCTTCTTCCTCTTCGGAGGCCTAAGAGAAATGAAGTCTTCACTAGGCCCATCAGCCTCAGCCACCGCTCTCTTACTCGCCCTGAGCATCCGCGGCTGGACCTGACGCAGCCTAGTCCTGAAAGCATTCTTATCACGCAACGAAACGCCGTAAAACTCCCCGGGCCGACGAATGCTAAACTGCTCAAGAGGTCCATCGCGGTGAATGTACAGATACCCGTCGGAACCCAAAACAGCCTCGCGGTTCGGACGACGGAACTGTAGCAGCTTGTACCTGTCAACGCCGAATTTCCGAACCATGGGATCCCCCCGCTTATCGATGATGAAGAAATCCGAACCCAAGTCCTTGGTTGGTTGTTGCTGGGCGGCGTGAGAACGGCCGCCGTCAAGATCGTCTCTCCGTCTCACTTCCGGCTCCCTGGTCGTCGGACCTTCGGACCTCTCCCTAGTCCTGGCCCTCTTAGGACTCGGGCTCCTTGATGTGGTTCTCGACCTTTTGTCTCCATGGCGATGGCTACGGTGGTGATGGCGGTGATGCTTGCTAGGGCGATGGCTAGGCCGTTTTACATCATCCTCTTTGGTTTTGGAAGACGCTGGCGCGGGGGTCGGCTCGGCGGGTTTAGGCTTGAAGGATGAGAATTTCGGGACGGTGGGCTTCTTGTCGTCTCTTCCCGACATGTCTAGCTCGAGGGGGGTGAGGGTGTGGGCGGGAATGCATGTGGGGTGGCATCAAATTTCAAGGCTGTTTATGGATCTTCATTGCAGTGTGCGGTTGTGAGTGAGCTGGAGCTGAGTTGCGGCGTCAGCTGGTTCGTGATGTGGCTTGAGATTTCAGGTGCCATTGTCATCGAGTCAATTTTAGTGGATCAAGATTCTGGCTGCCCTGCAATTGAGGTCCCAGCGTCGCTTGACTCAGCAGCACTGAGCAATTGATCCCGCATCAGAGGAACTTTGACAGTATCAAACAGCACGACCAGTCCATAAACCCATCGATTTTAAGGATGGTGAAGCATCAATAAGATCAGTGAAACGAGTTAGTATCGGCATTAACATCAACTATTACCAAAATTAATCCTCTCCCGATTGCTGCTTTGCTTTATCACCCTCTTCTCCCTTCAGGACGCCACCAAGTGATTGCCAGGCAACACGGCTGATAATACCGCGCACCAGGTAAGGATACAGCAGGGTACGCGCCTCAACCCGATCGAATTTAGCCAGGACTCCAGGAGAAAGAAACATCGAATTCTAGCTGTTATCTGCTCATAAATGGCTCTGGTTCTCCCCGACTCTTTTTGTTCCACGTTGCCCGCTCCTTCTGCAACGGGAAACATCGACGCCATTCGCTGCAACTTTCAATTTTTTTTCTCTTCTATTGTCTTTTTTTCATCTCCACTGCTTGTCCGCATGCCTCCACAGCTGAAGCGTGCAGCTCAATGTCACGCGGTGTGTCGTACCGGCACGTCAGCCAGTGGCAGCGTGTGATTTGTGCAGGCCGGAATGGAGATGGATCCGGGCCATGCACAATGGTGGAGGGTCGCTCATGTGTCCCCTGCGTGACATCATTCAGGGTTAAGTGGTGGGCATCCTGATCAAGATATAACCATGAAGGATTCCGAGTGTACTCGGAGGCGGTAAAGTTGGCGTCGTGATTGATTGCAGGATCGAGGCCGCCAATGGTGGACCCTGATAGGAAACGATCTACAAAATATCTCCAAGGATCTGGACCTTGGTTCTTGGGGAACCCTACTTTTTAGACTTTCACGCTTGCGACCAGGCAAAGCAGGAAGGGAAGGGATCACACCTCCAAGGTACGCAGTATAGAGAGCGGGCTGGGGCTAATATCGTCATGCCGCCTGAGCACGAAAACCGGCTGTCAAGTTGGCGGTCTGGTCTGGATGTTCATTGCCCTGCTCCCAACTTCATTTGCCTGTGGAGCACCTAGTAAGATGGCGTGAGGGAGGTTTGGACAGAGGTTGCGCCAAGAATTCCCACAGCCGGTAAGACGTGCTCCGTATATGTCGAGCAAATGCTAGCGCATATTAGGCCCATCGGGTTCGGGACTAAAGCAAGGAAGGTATCAATGGAAGACATTAGACCCGTCGATAATAAAACTTGTGGGGTTTATGAGACGGCGGCGCTGTAAACTGCTCGAGCTATTCGGACGGCTGACCAGATGGAAATTTCTCAATCGTACAATGTTGGTATGAACTTCGTAGCGTACATATCGGCGTTGCAGTTGGCTGGCTGACCTTCGGGAAGTTTTTGCCTGGTAGAACGGCGCGGTACCAAACATTACGAGGACTGGACCAGGACACCGTCGCATCAACGATGAAATCGAGGTTGACATCGCTGGCTTGGATTCATCTAATGAAGCCCTTTTTTAATATTTCGGCCAATCTTTCGGGAAGCCCAGTGATCAGATTCTGGAGAGTAAGGAGGTCACAATGCCTTGAGTCTGGGTCTATTCTCAATGAGGGCGTTAAGTCAGTGATCCTCACGAGGAATGTAGTTCTGGCGAGTCCATACCTTGGAAATATTCTCAAGATAGGTGATCTAGCTGCGTATGAACGCTTGAAACTGCGACTGCTTCCCGTGCTGCATTTGGTTTCGGGCATCGGCCGCCCCTCCAGTAATGGCGTCCACGATCGGCTGATCGCCATCGATGACAGGGAGGTTAGCACCAAGTACCATACTATGTAAGTCCTCCACGACCAGCGCTAAGCCCGTCTATAATGGGGCTGCTAGGCCACCCCCCCATTGAAGCAAAAAAAAAAAAAATTAAATAAATAAAATAAAATAAAATAAAGATTCTCGCACAGAATCTGAAAGCCCGGAGAAACAGATATGGTGGATCATACTGGATATTCGGGCGTGGCTGTCGGGTGTCGAACCTGCCCTGGCTTTCCTCTTAGTGAAGGGACTCACTCAGTACTATACTTCTGCACAAACCACTGCTCCTATTCGATATAATGTTCCTTCCACACAAAATCGGGGATCACTTGGTACTAGCGGGAAGTCACAATCTTGAAGATAGCAGATGGCGGTCTTGGCTGGAGTATACGCAAAGGTGCTTTTATTGGGCGAATCCAGAAGTTTCAGGGATCAACTTCGATGTTGTCTACTAATATGAAGGACCTCGGTATTTGAGGGAGAGGAGAGGACATTTATCAAGTGTAATTATTAGTGTATCTTTCATGCTGAATATGGACAGGACCAGACGGTGTCGTTTCGGCTGGTCCTTCTCATTGCCAAGCTGCTTTATCCACCATCGCCCCCACTGTTCCTCGCACAAAAACTGGTTTAACGTGTTAAGACCCCAGACGAGGGAGGGTCCCTCTATTCTCTGAGTCTAGACCCGTGCTGACCCTGCGTTCTCCGAGCTATCCCATGTCAATGTCCCAATGACGAGAACAATTGTCCTGTCCTTCATTTCCTTCACCTTTCCGCCACAATTCGTAAATTCTCACCTCTTCCATACCTTGCTTGGGCTGCCTTCCAGCTTCTGACCACATCGGCAAAAGCTAGACGGAGGCTACACGGAAGTGCGGTTTCTCCAAAGCCCAAGCCGACGCCTTAAAACATCAATCAAGGAGACCGACCGCCTCACTCCCTAGGCCACGACCGCGGCGATTCGTCAAAGGCACAGCCGACGCCTCGCCCTTCCCTCGCCCTCACCCCTGTGTAATCCCGACCGTTCAACGATAACCGAGCGCGATCCTTTCCTTCCTTTGTGTTACTTGTGTCGCCCAATAGTCGAGGTATCTCGAGTAGCTCAACCTTGATGGAACGTATCGCGACACGATCGAGCTAAGACGTAGTCGTTGTGCCGCCGCCTATGTCCCAACTAGTAACCGAGTATCTGTATGCATACCTTGTCTACCTCGATTTGATCCGGTTCCACCTGTCTTCCATGATACTGGCATAGCTCAAGGGGGCCCAGCACCCACCTCCCCTTTCTCGTCGTCTACCACGTCTGCCTACCACTACCTCCATAAGCGAACCCGACCAGCAGCGATTACCCGCTCCAATATCACCAAACTATCCGATCCGCTCCGTCAACGACTGAGACTGCCCTCTTCAGCTTCTGACTTCCTTATATACGTCGAGTATTCCATAACTCTATATACCCGCCATGGAGGAGTCTAATCACGGCGCCTCGGTGCCGACCTCACCCATAGCCCAGCGTCGACAGCACACCCGGAACCTCCACAGGCACAATTCGTCCGGGGACACGGAACAAACACCACTCCTAACCGTAACCCGATCGCGGAGGTTACAGAGCGGCTATGTCTCGCCGCGACAGAATAGCGCGCATCCTACTTTTACAAGAAACCAAAGCTACGCCGGTAAGACCTACGAACCGAACAACCTCGACCAAGTTGCTGCCGTGTGCGATGGAACACGAACTAAACATAGTGTGCTCGAGTAGGTGGGAGTATAAGAAGTGTCAAACACCACAGCAGACACCCGTCGTGGGGCCAGCGCCTCATCCAAGCCCTCTCCGACCGGCAGGAGTCGACAAACGAGACCAAGAGCACCGGATACGCCGACGAACGCGTGTGGTACGATCAGTTTACCTCGACCGACTGGGTCCACGACAACATCGCCGACGCCCACCGAGTCAAGGCTCTCCGGAGCCGGAGAGACCTCTGGGGCCGGATATTTGCTACTTGGGACGCATCTCAGGGCTGGATCCTGAGTGCGTTGAGCGGCTTTCTGATAGCCGTTGCTGCCTATATTGTCAACGTGTCGGAGTCGACCGCGTTTGACTGGAAGGATGGGTACTGCACGAAGGGCTTCTTTATTAGTGAGGCGGTGAGTCAACTCTCGAGGCGGATACGGATGCCCCAAACCGCGCTCTTTTAGCTAATCCCTCCATAGAAATGCTGCCCTCACGGCCCTTGCACGGCCTGGAGGACATGGTCAGAGGCCCTTCGAGCCCATCCGTTTGGGGAGCTTTGGACGGAGTTTGCCATATATCTTGCTCTCGCCATTTTCTTTTCTTGTGCGGCATGTGCGTTGACGCTCACCACTAAAACCATCGTTCCTTCTGCGTATCAACTATCGACCCTCGACGAGAACCTCGCGGCCGACAGCCCACCGAGAATGGCCAACAGCGACGAAGTACACAGCCCTAGGCAGGTAATTGAGGCCAAGGAATCTCCGCCCATGGTGTACTACTCGGCCGCCGGAAGCGGTGTTGCCGAAGTGCGCGTCATTCTCAGTGGTTTCGTCTTGCACGGCTTCCTCGGCCTCAAGACTCTCCTTGTGAAGACGGCAGCCCTGATCTTTGCCGTTGCATCTGGCCTCAGCTTGGGTAAGGAAGGCCCCTATGTTCATATTGCGGCTTGTGTCGGCAACATTGCCTGCCGTCTGTTCTCAAAGTACGACCATAACGATGCCAAGCGCCGAGAGGTGCTCTCTGCTGCTGCCTCCGCCGGTGTTGCCGTCGCTTTCGGCGCCCCGCTCGGAGGTGTCCTCTTTGGTCTCGAGGAAGTGTCATACTACTTCCCCGCCAAGACGCTTTTCCGAAGCTTCTTCTGCTGCATCATTGCGTGCCTGACGCTCAAGTTTCTAAACCCCTACGGCACACATAAGATTGTCATGTTCCAGGTACGCTACTCCGTCGACTGGGAGTGGTTCGAGCTGGGCAGCTTCATCATGGTTGGCATCATCTGCGGCGCCGTGGGTGCGTTTTTCATCAAAGCCTCCAAATACTGGGCCAAGTCGTTTAGGAGAATCAAGATCATCAAGAACTACCCCATGCTCGAGGTGGCCCTCGTGGCCCTCGTGACGGGTCTCATGAGCTACTGGAACGTCTTTACTCATCTCCCCGTCGCCAAGCTGCTCCTCAATGCCGCTGCTCCGTGCGACCCCGACGACGCGGATAGGGACCAGCTTGGCCTCTGCCCTTCGAGGATCGAAGAGATCCCTCCCGTGGTGGCGAGTCTTTTCGCGGCGTTCCTCATCAAGGGCTTCCTGACCACCATCACTTTCGGTATCAAGGTCCCCGCGGGTATCTACATGCCGTCCATGGTCGTCGGCGGTCTGTTGGGACGGCTCATCGGACACATGGTGCAGTGGGTTGTCTTTCGGTTTCCCGACGTGCCCATCTGGGCGGCGTGCGCGAGGAGCGGAGAGGGCACGTGTATCCAGCCGGGCGTGTATGGACTCATCGCGGCGGGGTCGATGATGTGTGGTGTTACGCGGTTGTCGTTGACCCTTGCTGTTATTCTGTTTGAGCTTACTGGAAGTCTTGATTATGTGTTGCCGTTTTCGCTTGCTATTCTTGTGGCGAAGTGGACGGCCGATGGTATTGAGCCGAACAGTATTTATGTAAGTTTTCTTTCTGGACTTTGACATCTTCGATATCGGTTCGTTTCGTTAACATTGACCCCTCCTTGCAGGATCTACTCACAAACATGAACTCGTACCCCTTCCTTGACATCAAGCACAAACCCATCTTCACATCCGACCTCGCGACCATCGTCCCCCGCGTCCGCCGCGAGCGCGTCATCGACATCACCAACTCGCCCCTCGTGCCCGCCACCGACCTCCGCTCCAAGCTGACGGTGCTGCACCGCGCCGGCGAGCTCGATGGCGGCTTGCCCATCCTGAGGAACGACGTTCTTGTGGGCCTCATCCCCGCGCCGGATCTCGAGTACGCTTTGGACAACTTGCCGGATGAGGAGACGAGTTTGTGTCTGATGGCGAATGTGCCGAGGATTGATGAGGATGATGGGGAGGTTGATCCGACCGACTTTACGCCTTACATTGATCCGGTGAGTTACTTTCTTTTAAACGCCCATATTTGCGAACGTGTGCAGTTGTGGTTCTGATATTGTCGTAGGCTCCTGTTGCGCTGGATATTCACAGTCCGATGGACTTGGTATATGAGTGTTTCTCAAAGTTGGGGTTGCGGTATATATGCGTACTCCGGGATGGCAAGTACGCGGGAATGGTAAGTTGTGAAAGTGAACATCCCGCGATAAGTATGAGTACTGATGATGCATTGCAGACCCACAAGAAATCTTTTGTCAAGTATATGAGAGAGCTTCTCCAAGAGCAACATGGGGGAAGTTAACCCCTTGGCCCGACCTAGTCGTTTCGTTTTCGTTCTTTTACTATACTATACACCTGCCGCGGGCAGAAGTGGCCTACACCAAAACCACACAGCCGAACTTATTTTCGCATTAACCCTCACATCGACGACGACGAAACTAATACGACAAACGGAGGTTCCTGACAATGCCTCGAAAGCGGCCGTTCGCGTATTGGAGAGGAATTGAGAGATTGCTAGTATATATATATATATTTTTTCTTCTTGCATTAGATGGCGACATTTGGATTAGCTCTCTTGCATTTTTTTGATATCGAAGATGGATAGTTGACAAACATAATAGCGGAGAGAGTGAAAGAGGAGGACAAGTTGCATATCTCTATTTCTTTTTTTTTTCCTCTTTTTTTTCAGTATATTCTATTCCCTACTTTGTTTTGATAGGATGGATCTGTTAGATATAAGGAACATTGAAGGCTGTGAGGGAGGCATTGTCATTGAACATTGTTTTTGCCGTAGGAGGTTTATAAACTACGACCCAAGTGGACGGGTTACATTGGACTGAAATATAATCTGGAACTGATACAGTAAGACGGTGTCAATTGAATAGGGAGAATGTCATGGCAGTTGTTGATGTCGGGCTCATCTTCTCATTCCTTGGCAATGGGTCGATACTATTACGAAGTAAGACGAGCTGGAAACCGTATTCCAACACATGGGGCGGATTCCCTTTGGGACAAATCAAAAAGTCGGGCAGGAACACGGCACGAAGCAAGGGTCCAAATATATCCTCCCACGCAGTGACGACATGGGATCAACCCGAACCAAAGATGGGTCGACAGCTGAGCTTTTAGTTGATGGGGGCGTGCGGATCTGTACTTTGTTACAACCAAGAACGGGCGGGAGCTGCCTGGCATCGTCATCACTGATCCTTGCAGCGTTTTCCCCTTGTGCGCGATGGAATGGATGGAATGTTGGCTGTTTCAATCTTACCTTCTGGAGGCCGCCAGGACAGGACAGCCTCTTGTCTTGATTTATGTAGATCTAGACCCACCCAAACCCCTCGACCCTTTTTAGTTTCCTAACCTACCAATACTGTCAGTCATTAAGAAACATTTCAGTTGCCTCTAACCTTGCAGCTCTAGCGACCATTTCCGCCCTCTGAGCCACGCGCTAAAAAGCTGTCTCCTTGATCTGGTTCGACAACTCGGGGGGTTTTTACCCCTCCTTGGGAGCTATTCCTTGGCTGGGCTGCTGAAAGCCAAGTCGTCCTGGAGTGGGGGTGTGTTTTAGGTTTCTGCGAGTTCTTTTTTGAAGTGTTTCTATTCGTTTTTTCAGTCTCTACTTCGTATTAACTGAGGCGTTATCCATGTTGAAGGGGGTTCTAAGGTCGGCGATTGCCCTCAAGTAAGAAGCATCCTGGATCGCTCCTTCTCTATCTGCAGCTACCCCTCAATCTCCTAAAGCTCTCCAGCTGAACTTCACGACGACCAACTCTCAAGACCCTCTGCCTGACCCCACCTTGCCCAAGTTCAATACCATTCACACCTACCTACTACGGCTGCCACTACTTCATACTCTCTCATACATTTAACAAACCCCTTTTCCCAAGACTCCAAACTATCCTCTCCTTACATAGCCTGCAAAATATCCCGGCCCTCTGCACAAGCTAGAAAAGATCAGAAAAACTCAATTCCCTTCTGTAACTCTCAGATTCGACTCCAAAATGGCTTCCTCACTCCTGCCCGACCCCGCCCAGCTCGCTGGCGGCGGCAACAGCGAAACCATCCGCGTCGTCGACTCCCTCAACCAAACGCTCCTCACCCACCTCAAAACCATCTTCGCGGCCCGCAGCGGCGGCACGGATCAGCCCTGGACGGCCGAGCAGCTCTCGGCCTTTTGCACGGAGATCCAGCGCGAGGGCGGCGCCGCCATACCAACGAGCCTTCTCGCAGCTTCTGAAGAAGGAGGAGGGGGACTCGATTTTGAAGGGTTCGTCAAGTACATGACGTCGTCGGCCACGGCGTTGACGGCTCCGCCTAAAGAAGAGGATTTGTCGTGGCCGCTTGCGGCGTATTTTATTAGCTCGAGCCATAATACGTACCTTACGGGAAATCAACTGTCGAGCGATTCGAGTACGGCGGCGTATAAGAATGTGTTGTTGAGGGGGTGTAGGTGCATCGAGGTGGATGTGTGGGATGGGGATGATTCTGATAGTGAGGATTCTAGTAGTGATGAGGAGAAGGAGGCGGCGGAGGGGGGTGAGTTGAAAAAGAAGAAGAAGAAGCAGAGTACGTTTGAAATGTTGAAGAGTAAGCTGAAGGGAGAGACGCAGAAGGCGGATGAGAAAATTACCCAACCCAGGGAGCCTGTCGCAGCGACGCAAGAGGGAAGTAAAAAGGTGAAGAATGACGGGATCCCAGCACTCAAGCCCGGCGCCGTCGAGCCGAGAGTTCTGCACGGCTACACGCTAACCAAGGAAATCACCTTCCGAGACGTCTGCGTCGCCATTCGCGACTCCGCCTTCAAGGTCTCCGACCTACCCGTAATTGTCAGTCTCGAGGTTCACTGCACCCCTGAGCAGCAAGATCGCATGGTCGAGATCATGGAGCACGCTTTCAAGGGTATGCTCGTGCCCATCCCCGAGGGCGAACCGACCGAACTCCCCGCTCCACAGGATCTGCGCAACAAGATCATCGTAAAAGTCAAGTACGCCCCCCCACCCGGCGCTTCCCCTGAACAACAGCAACAACTCCTGGAAGACGATTACCAGGACCGTCTACCCCAGGGCGGTAGCGCCGCCGCCAAGGGCACTGCTGCCGCCGCTGCTGCTAAGCCATCCAAAATCACGCAGGCGCTGAGCAACATGGGCTTCTACTCCCGCGGCGTCTCGTTCAAGAGCCTAACGCAAGCCGAAGCGACGATGCCGACGCACATTTTCTCGTTGTCGGAGAAGAAGGTGGCGGAGGTGCACGGGAAGCAGGCGGAGAAGCTGTTCGAGCATAATTTGCATTATATGATGAGGACGTATCCGCACGGGTTGAGGATCGGGTCGTCGAATTTGGATCCGGCGCCGTTTTGGAGGAAGGGGATTCAGGTCGTGGCGTTGAATTGGCAGAATTGGGATGAGGGGATGATGTTGAACGAGGGCATGTTTGCGGGGACTCATGGATATGTGTTGAAGCCTGAGGGTGAGTATCAAGCCGAGCCTTTTCTTTCTTTTATACCTACTTCTTTCTCCCCTTTTACGCGAGGCCATTTCCGAGCATCATCAACTCACAGAGACTCTTTTCACAGGCTACCGCATGAAGAAGCCCGACGGAAGCAAGCCTCCCCCGCCCACCTACCAAACCCTCGACCTCTCCATTGAAGTCCTCGCCGGTCAAAACATTCCTCTGCCCCCGGACGACGAACATGCCAGGAGCTTCCGCCCTTACGTAAAAGTCGAGATCCACGTCGAATCGCCCGAAGAGCGCCGCGGCAAGATCCGACCCTCCGCCGAGGCTGGCCAGGAAGCCGAAGGCGAGTACAAGGCGCGCACGAAGACGAACAAGGGAACTGAGCCGGACTTTAAGGGCGAGGTGCTCAAGTTCGTGCGGGTTCCGGGCGTGGTACCCGAGCTTACGTTTGTGAGGTTCACGGTGAGGGATGACGAGTTTGGGAGGGATGATTTGGCGGCTTGGGCTTGCGTTAGGTTGGATCGGGTGAGGGCGGGGTATAGGTTTTTGCATTTGTTGGATTGTAGGGGGAGGTTGACGAAAGGGGTTTTGCTGGTCAAGGTGACGAAGGTTCTTGTTAAGTGATTTGGGGGGCGGAACCAAGGCGGGGTGCGTTGTCCGGAGTTAGCGGGGTGAGATTCGGGGTCGGGAGATCGGGAGGGGCCGGCGATAGGGCCGGGTGCGGGGCGCGGGAACTTGAATAGAGTCTTGACGGGTTTGATGGACCAAACAGGGTTACGTTATTATGCGCATAATTGCTTACAGTTTAGCATAATGGAAGTGCAATTCTACTCTCAGTTGATCACTTGGACGAGATATAATCTTCTTAGCTCTCGTTGTTCTCTTATGCCTACAGTGGTGTAATCGATCGCTGGGCTTCACCAATGTCAAGTCGGGGCAATCGAATGTCAAAAGGAGAGAAAGAGAAAAAAAAATCGCGGAGACGAAAACCCTCCAACTGCCACTAGTCGGGGTATATTTTAGCCTGCAACATCCGCTTGTGAGATGCAAGTGTCTTCTTCGAGTTGGAGATGCTCTCTTGTGTTGAAATGGCTGTTTCTGGCAGTATGTGACGTCATGGCGAAGGGATTGACAGGTTTGAATCCGCATTCGGAATGCCGCCTAGGAAACATGTTCGCTTCCGACGCCCTTATTTTCTCTTACTCAAACGTTGAACAAAGTGGGCATAGACGACCTCCCCTAACGGTTTCGCCGTGGCATCGGCCGGCGTATCGCCTATCTCGACGTCCTGGAAGTCGAATGTCATTCCAACAGTCGTGTTTTCGAGGGCCCATCTACATCCAGAGCGATTGGGGATCGAGCCGTGCAACCAGCATGCGTGGTCTTCAGCTCTCCAAAGAAGGAAAACCAATCACATCCTTCTCGAGACAACCTGCCTTTTGATGGGGCTTTGCCCAGCCCTGCATCTCAGATCAGCGCCAGCCCGTTTAGGAAAAACAAGTCTGGGATGCACTGCGAATCCATGGAAGAGGATTACGGCCGAGCCCGTTGCATGTCGGATGGGAGAGGAGCTCTGGATCGATAATCGTGGCATTGAGACTTGGGCTTGCCAGGTTTTTGGTCTTACGTGGACCTGGTGGAGCATCTAATCGTACAACATTGCCCTGTACGAAGGAGAGAGTACCAGTAGGAGGTGTACAGCAAAAAAGTGATACTTCACGCTTCGTAGACAATGACGACGGCTGTCAATCGGAATCAGAGACAGGGGACGAAAAATGTATCTTTCAGAAGAATCATCGGGAATGGAGACTCCTGTCCATCCCTTTCCTATTTGATAGGCACTGTGCCTTGGTTGGAGCCTCGCTAGTATTGATGATTTACACCTTTCCCGTTGATTTACAGAGCCGAGATCGAATAACCTTGATTTTCTCGATCTTTCTTTTCTCATTGTAACAAGAAGATTCATTGTATGTACCTCCATCAAAAGATCAATACGAGGACAATGGAGGGTACAAAAGAAGAAAATCAGCTTACGCAGTACTTCGTACGAGGTAAAGAAAATTGGGGCGGATGACGACGCATCTTGAGCCATGGAGTGTTTCAGCTTGGCGGTACGGGGCCAGCTTCGACCGGTGTCAGTTCGTCCCCATTCGGGAGAGGGAGGCGCAGCAAAGTGTTGGAAAATAATGTCCGATTTTTTTGTAGAAGGGCCTGTTACCGGCTCTTCAAATCTTTGTTGTGCATTCTTGTTTTCTGTCTTCGGCTGAAGCGCCTTTGCTACAGGGACGGAACAGCCGAGAAACCCTGCGTTATTTCGGATGGGGGGAGTGTGCACATTTTCTGAGGGATCGGATGGAAAGGCATTTGATGGGAGCCAAAGGGCTGAGATGGGCCTTTACGAAGTGCAGTGTTTGAATGGGAGAAAGGGGGTCTGAGGAGCAGGAGGCAATTGAGTTTCCACGGCTCTTCGATAATAATAGCACAGCGTAAAAATGCCTGGTCTAAAGTGCTCAGTAGTATGGTACAACCAAGCTCCTGGTCCTTGGCTAAAGATCAGGAATATGAATGTTGTCTCCATAGAAATGAAATAGTAATAATCCTTAATCCTTAATCCTCGTATCCTCCACTTGTAGGACCCTGGAACCTCGAATCCCAGCCGGCTGGCGTTTAAAACAAGACAAGAATGATTCCAAAGACATTAACAAGCCACACCGTTGTGGCCCAGTAATGCCTGACTGTGGGGAATCAAATGGGGAATCAAAGGGGACAAAGGGGGAAAAGCAGGCGCCAGCCCGACCAGCCAAACCGGGCCGCAGGGGGTGTGCAGTGGTGTGCAGTGGTGTGCAGTGGACAGACCGTTTCGGAGTTGAGGCTTGGCCTGCACATCTTTTTTTTTTTGGCAGGCGCGGCCGCCGCTCCGCATCTGCATCAATGATCCATTGAATAATACATACTTGAAGGAGCTTATCCCCTAGGTTTCCACTTCGTTGGTAAACGTTTCTACTCTCTACTCTCTACTCTCTTTTGAAACTGTTGCCATTTTTCTTACCCTCTTTTAATACTTTTTCTTTTCTCTCGTTTTACGTACTTTGAGAATATCGAGCATCTACTCCGACAAGCCAGACGATCTCCTAACAACGTATCTACGAAGCACAAGCCTACTCCTAAAGGCAATACCCGAATTCGGGCTCCAGGACGAAGATGCACTTCTCGCCCAGCACATGGGCAACCGCCCTCCTCTCCCTCTCCTTCTCGTCTCTCACATCCGCCGCAGCAACCAGATCCTCCCCACAAGACCACGCCCAATTACAAGCACGGCAATCAACCGCCACAGCATGCAACAACTCCCCCGAACTCTGCTCCCGCAACTACAACAACATCACCCACCTCGGCGCCCACGACTCTTCCTTCCTCCGCGACGAATCCACCGACAACTCCATAGCCGGCAACCAATTCTTCAACGCCACCGAGGCACTCAACGCGGGTTTCCGTCTCTTGCAGGCCCAGGTCCACAATGAGAACGGTACCTTGCGGCTCTGCCACTCGAGCTGCACCCTCCTGGACGCGGGACCGCTCGAGAACTGGCTTGAGAAGATTACCTTCTGGATGAACAACAACCCCAATGAGGTCGTGACGGTGCTGCTCGTTAACTCGGATGATGTGGGTGTCGAACAGTTCGGTGCGGCGTTTACAGGCTCCGGGCTGGGCAAGTTTGGATATACCCCCCAGGCCTCGGGTTCATGGCCGACGCTGTCGACTATGATTTCCAACGGCCAGAGGCTCGTCGCCTTCGTCACAGGAATCACGGCCAGCGCAACCTACCCTTACCTCCTAAACGAATTTGACTACGTCTTCGAGACCCCCTTCGAGGTCACCAGCTCGTCCGGCTTCAACTGCACCCTCGACCGGCCCAAGAGCATCGGCTCGGCGGCGACGGCGGTGTCGCGCGGCATGCTCTCGCTCGCGAATCACTTCCTATACAAGGACCTCGGAGCCTTCGGCATCATGGTCCCCGACGTCGATCAGATCGCGAACACGAACAACCCGGCGACCACGGGCATCGGCATGCTCGGCACGCACGCGACGCAGTGTCGGAGGGAGTGGGGCGTCAGGCCCAATTTTATCCTCGTCGACTTCTTTGACAAGGGCCCCGCTATTGGCATCGCGGATGTTATGAACGATCTTACGCAGGCTGCTGTTGGAAGGGAGACGAACTTTAAGGCGTCAGGGAGTGTTGTGGGGACGAGGGGTGTTGGTGGGTTGGCTTTGGCGTTGGCATTGATTGCATCTGTTTTCTTGCTGTAAAGGTGGTTGGTTAATGGAAACCGGACACTAAAATTGGAATTGAATAGAAAGGACGGGATCATATTTTTTCTTTTTTTTTTTTCTCTTTTTGGGGTCAGGATACTACATTTGTTGGATTTTAATCGATTGCATTTTTCTTTCTTACGCAATTACTTGGGATCTAAATTGCATCTGGGACTGGAAAGATAAACATGAGAGGGGATGTGGTTTATGTCAGCCCTGGTGCATGCCGTGGAACATATTGATAGGCGCATCTGCCTGGAGGATGGAACATAGATTTCATAATATCACAAAGAAACATTGAAGCATTCTATCATTTACGGGCTTAGCTCCTGCTCCCCCTTGCGAGAAGCATCGACAATTACACGAATGCTTGGTTTCTGCGCGTGTTCTACATTGCTGTTCGAGACTCTCACTCTGCTCTACTCATCATGGAGATTCAGGGTGCTGTCCAGCAAGCGGATTCGGCGTTGGCCCACGGCCGAATAAACTTCCTCCACTTCCCTACGGAGATCCGACTCTTCATCTACCACCACGCGCTGGTTGAGCCTCCTCGATGGCGAAAACGTCACATCCCACCATGTCCCTACGCGCCCACCTCTACCAAAGTCACAGAACATCCCCCCTTCATCATGCACAACAGCACCTACCGCTATCCAGAAGGCCCCAACTTCCAGCAAGCAGACTACATCCCCATGTGCTCCTGCGCGAAACGACACAGCCTCAACCTCCTGCTCGTCTCCCGGCAGGTCAACGCCGAGGCGGCCCCCATTTTCTGGACTGAAAACATCTTCCACTTTTGGACCGGCCACGTCTTTGCGCGAAACGTGGGACAACAGCTTCGCGACGCGTATAGAAAGCAGCTCCGGCACGTAGTCGTTATGCGCCTAACGGACATGGAGGATTATCGCCACCGTCCTGGTTCTATTCAGTACGGGAAGGGATACGGTTCGTTTTGGGAGACGGTGCTGCAGTGCGAGGGGCTTGTGACGCTCGAGACGTCGATCGACACGTTTGCCGAGGTCTACGAGCCCCTGGACACGTACACGCGGTACGTGCAGGCGGTGGTGACGAAGTTGACGAGGCTTGAGAATTTCAGACTGTCCGTCTTGAAGGGGTATCGTTTTGTCGAGTCAGAGTTGACCAAGGTGGCGGGGTTCGATTCTGACGAGCGTCCGGCCATCATTTGGCGGATGTTTGTGGATTTGCCTTTCCGTAAGGGCGGTCCTATGAGCCTTGAAGAGGTCAGGGCTGTCTTTAGAAGCTTCTTTACTGACCGTTCGTCTATATATGACGTGGAGGGCGTTCTATGTCAAGAACTCGACATCGTTTATATGACGCAGGCTACTGATTGGACAGACATTTCCTCTGACGACTATCCAATGGAGATTGTCGAGCGATTTATCGACGATGCGTCAGTCACCATCGCGTTTGACGATGGCACTGAGGTCGAGGTTGAGCTCATGGGATTACCTATATCGAAGAAGGTGGAGGCTGCCAGGAACTGAGAGAGGGATTCGAATGTGAGCCTAACCGTTGAAAAGCGATGAGATCCTCACAAGAGGAAGAGACTACGACACGGCCTTGATGTCTACGGGAAGGAAACCTGAAGCCACAGGAGTTGTAGGGGCTATTGGAGGCCCTTCTTGGAGCGGCTGAGGTTTTCTGACAGGTGGCGAATGAGCCTAGCATTGATTCAGATAACTTGGGGTCAAGATTGTACGAGGGCAAGTGGGCTGGTGAGGAAGCGCAATGCGGCGGGCCTTTTCTCACGTCTTAATACCCATCCGGTTCGGCGAAACTCTAATGACCAATCCGACCCCGTCGGTCCAAGTCTGCTCCGGACCTGGTCCCCGCAATGCCGAAAGTATAATTGACGATCTTGGCAGCCAGAAACCGCACTCAGTCTTAATCTTACTTCGTGCTCCTGGACAGTCGGACAACGGAAAGGGTTATGGATACTCCAAGATGTGAGGCTACAATCCATATCAAAACTGTCATGTGTTTGTTTGGGGGGGGATACGAAGGGGAAACGAAGAGGAGAGCAGGACACATGTTTCGGAGGCTACAAAGTTAGTGAGCTTATTTTCCTCAAACGACACGTCTCCTTCCTTCCCACAACGGCTTCAAGGACTTGAAAGAGGGGAAAATGCGTCGTTGAGAGAAACAATGTCAAAATTGGTCTTGGCAACAGCCAAGAAGCAAGGCTCTTTCTGGATTCAACATTCAAAGACGTCGCAATGCCTTCGTTTTCTTCGATGACTAAGCGCGAACGAGGAATTTAAGTATATATAACAAGCCGGACATCCTGGGATCTCCCGGGTTTGCAGGAACGGCGGTAGCGGAATCCCTTCTTTGGATGCTTCAATGGATTATTATTAGAAAAAGAATCCCAAAAAAAACCGAACTTCAGATAATAGCAATCTCTCTCACCATCAAGGAGCAGAGAGGATCAACAAGCAATACACCAAAGTCAAGAACGTCACGATTTCGTGTCTACCATGTCAGTAGCTCGAGGCACTGTGCTCGGCAAGTTGCATCATAACACAATCAGGACAGCACTCTTGACAACTAAGAGCACTCAGCAGCAGCGACAGCAGCGACTCTGCTACTCCATCTTGACGAAACGACACGAAGCTCGATTGCCGACGCGACGATTCGAAGCAGCCATGGCTACTACCAAAGTAGATTACTCGACGCTAAAGACTCCGGAGTTGTGCTACGCCGACTTCTGCTTGCTTCCGGTATGGGGAAACTGGACCTTGGGGTTTAGCGTGCTGGGTTGGCGGTTTTACGAACTTTGTTATCGCTAACTGATGGGTGGGTATGTTCAGCTTGGGACGGGCTCGCCCTCGGTCTCGAGGGAGATTGCGGATGTACAGAAGCTCATTCGTTCGAGTGGGTTGAAGTATTGCATGCACTCGGCCGGCACGACTGTTGGTATGTTTCTGGTTCTTTTTGCGTCGGCTGGTGTAGACGAAAGAAAGCTTGGCTAACAATTGATGTCTTTTTCTTTTAGAGGGTTCTTGGGATGAGGTCATGAACATTATCGGAAAGGCTCACGCCCTCGTTCACCAGGCCGGTGTTAGCCGCATCCAGACTTCGATGCGTGTTGGATCTCGGTGAGTGCTGGTCCCTTACATAAAAGTGGTCGTATGAAACGGGGAGTTGCCTAACTGCTAGACAGAACGGACAAGATCCAGCATTTCGAGGACAAGGTGAACAAGGTCGAGGAGATTTTGGCCAAGGAGAAGTGATGAGCCGGGAGTCCATTACTCCATATGGTTGCTAAGGGATTGTTGAGGAGTGGATCTTGAGGGGTTACGTTATTATTAGTGGGATTGGGGTTGTTTCCTTTAGCTTCAGTCCCCCAGATTACAGACGCCACCACTACTACACTTCACTATTCCTAACGAGCACCAGACGAGCCTGGGGTTGCGTGCTCGTTTAATTTGACAGATAGAAAAGTATGGGGGCCTGCCGGTATTGGCTTTTGTAGAAACGAGAAACGACAACATAATGGATTGTCTTTGGCGAAGAAGGCATCGGTTTGCGAAGTAATTGCAACAAACTCAAGCCCTCCAGTGATGCAGTCCCCGAATCAATTGATCAATTCCGTGATTCGTTCCCGAGTGTCAAGAAGCCAGGGTCAAACGTGGACGCTGTGTGCACAGACCAGGGTTGCAGATTAGTTTCCAGATTAAGCAGGCGACAAGCTGGACAAGTCGAGCTGTTGCTTTTTTCCATCCCATTTCTGCGCACTTCCATCGGCCCGCCCCCCTTAAAAGCCAGCTTGAGCTCTCCCGATCAATCTTCAACACTCGTTCCGATCGTCAGTCACAACCCCCGCGACTATGGCGAGTTTTCTGGATAACCTCCGGGGCAAGTCCTCTGAGGATGCGGTTCCCAAGGCCGACTCTGGTATGTACACGTCTTACGATGAACCCACCCCTAACACATCTGCGTGACAATCCAAATGGACACGCGCCATGCGTCGGAGGGCTTCGAAACATCGAAGAATACCAGGCTTGTATATGTTTACGTATGCTGATGCGTCGTCGCTCGATACACAGACTTCGCAGACTTTGGCGACGCCCCAGTCGTCGCCGAAGACACCTCCCCCGCTCCCCCAGGCGCCGCCGACGGGCTCAGGACCACCCCCTCAGGCAAGCCCTACACGAAATGGTACAACGTGCACGAGCGCCACTCCCTCAGCGAGTTCCGCCTCGAAGGCTACATCCTCGGCATCATCGCCGTGCTCCTCGTCTTCCACCTTATCGGCTCTCGGCGTAACCGATCCAAGGCCAAGAACTTCATGGCGAAGCACCTGCCCGTGCTGCGTCGCGAGTTCGCGCAGGTCGGGTTCGGCGGCGAGAGCCAGATTCGGGAGAAGTCGCTCTTCGAGTTCGAGTCGTATGCTACGGGTCGCCAGAACGTGGCCTTTGTCGATATCAACTTGGTTATGAAGAAGCGCTTTAACCCCATTCTTGGTGCTGCTGAGTTTGTCCTCGGCTCGCTTTTCGAATCCGTCCCTGCCCCAAAGGATGCTGTCGATGCTGCTTTGTATCCCTTCGATGGGAAGGAGTCGAAGACTGTGCCAACGATTCCTGGCTCCAATGAGCTCAAGGTTGAGAAGTCGGCTTATGATGGCTTTGTCTGGGCCGTTGTCAACAAGAACAATATGCAGGCTATTCGTGATGAGCGATATGATGCCTCGATTACCTTTACCAAGGATAACTCGAAGCTTCCTCCCTGGTTGACTGTCATGAGCGAGAGCGCTGAAATTACCGACGTTCTTCTTACTCCCGAGCTTATCAAGGCTGCTGAGAAAGCTGGAGATCTCCTTGAGTATCTCATCATCACCGACCAGCCCGTTACTAAGCCTACGACGTAAGTTTCTCTCTCTCCCTTTCTATTCGCTCTAGCTGTCGTTTGCTGCGTAAACGTTCTTCATCAAAAAACGAGTACCCAGTTGGTCTCTAACACCAAGCTTGACAGCCTCGACGAGACGACCCCCCGCAAGCGCATCTTCCTCCGCTACCGCCTCCCCTCCAGTGACAGGGAATACGACGACATCCTCCCCCTCTTCTCCTACTTCCTCCGCCTCCCCGACCTCCTCGTCAAGCAGGCCCACTTCCGCCCTGAGGTCCTTCGCAAGATCCGCGTCATCCGCGAGGAGGCCATCGCCCAGATCAAGAAGGCCGACGAGGAGCTCAAGGCCGAGGAGCGCAACACCGAGCGCGAACGCGCCAAGAAGGCGAAGCGCGACGAGCAGCTCAAGGGCATGGATGCTAAGACGCAGAAGAAGTTTTTGGAGAAGGAGCGGGAGAAGGAGTTTAAGAGGAGTCAGAAGAAGGGGACCGTTCGTGCTTGAAGGGGGTTCCCTCTTCCTTTTTTTTTTTTTTTTTTTTTTTTTTTGTTTTGGGGCATGAATTCTCCTTGTATAATTTGGAGGGCTGGACGGTTGGTGGCAGGGGACTAAATAAGGACTCGGAAGCATTTGGTGGCTCTTTTTCATCATTATGACTATTGCTTTGGAAGTTGTGTAAAGGAGCGATAATGATGAGGATGCTGAGATTGCCCCTTGGGAGGGTTTTGGTCGGTTTTGTATGTGTAGTTTAGTGTATGAGTTCTCAAGAAAACGGGGCCCACGAAACTAGCTAATTTGAACCAGGTATGTAATGCATAGGATGCTGTATTAGTGATTGGTTGCGTTGCGTTGCTGTCTCAGTCGAGTCTGTCATACGAAGTAGTTCCGTACGTATATTTGGTTCAGTACGACCGTTTCATCCGAATGTTCCCGTGCCGGTCGGTAGGCTTCCGGTCAGTCCGGAGGAGAACCCGTCTTAGACCAGTCATCAGGGTCAAGTCTTCCGGTGTCAGTTCTCCTCTCCTAGCTGTAATATGTCCGAACCCTCATTTTTACGCCCCCAGGCGGCTTCAGATGCTAGGAGTATTCTGGAACTTCACTTCCCTAGGTGCCGCCAAAGTGGTATGCTGACGAACTTCTCCTCTCCCTGGCCACGTTCCCAACTGATCCATTCGTCCAAGCACCTATGCCGCAGCTCTTCTCCAATGAGGAGAGAGTGAATTCCGCAACTCCAAGTCTTCTGAAATTAACCTTTTCAGTGGACAGACATCCCTTTTCTGGTGAATATCAGAAGCAGTGTTGATTTTGGTTTGTCCCCCCCGTAGTCCAGACTCTGCAAATATAGATCAAACGAGCCTGTGGACATCTGAACTTTAACTTAGTGCAAATAGCCATGAAAAGTCCTCCGTAAAACATTTGTTCCTCCCTTCTGTGAAATCAGCCTGACCAGGACTTACATAGGTTGACAGTGTGATCCATCCCTGTGGTTCCGGCGGGTAAGATCCGGAGTCTCGGTCGCGGTTGCCCGGTCAACAAAACCCCTGCAAATCATCATCCAGCACAGAGCTAATAATAGACCCAACTTCAACCTCACCTCACCACCAAACACTCAAGCACCAAAGAAAAATCCACTCTCAAATCCAAAATTTTGGTTATATATAAACCTCCTAACCTCGTGAATTGCGATACCCAAGGAACCCACTTTTAGACACGATACGGGAACAAGATGTCGCGGGCCGGCACAGTGCGGCAATACGGCAAGCAGACGAAGCGGTCTCGCGCCGAGAGGTTATTCGCAGAGCTACCACAAAGTCCCGTGAACAAGATAGGCGGAGAGAAGAAGGTTGCTGTACTCCGCGGTGGGGAAATCGACGAACTTTCCGAGCTGGTGGCGGCCGTGAGGATTCGGGACGGAGAAGAGGATCCGAGTGAAGCGGATGATGCACAAAGCGACGGGTCCGCGCCGAAACAACTAGAAGAAGAAGCGGCTCAGATTACGGAGGAGACCAACAAAGAGATAAGAGAAGAAACAGACACAGAAACGGAATCAAAATCAGTAGAAGACGAAACATCCCACACCCAAGAAACATCAGGCATAACGGAAGGAGTCGAGGACGGCCTACGAATATTAACTTGGGACGACGTCTGTCCCTTCGGCGACAAGATCGAAAAGATCGCGGAAGCTTCTTACGCAGAAGTCTACCGCGTCACAAACCCCCGCGGCACCAGCATCATCAAAGTGATCCGCCTCAAGTCACCAATCCGCGCACAAACAAAAGCCCAAGAGCGCTCGGGTCTCGTGGACGAGGAGCCGCATGACGAGGATGACCTGATCGGCGAGCTGAGGATATCGGAGTGGCTTGCTGACATCCCCGGGTTCGTCGTGTACAAGGACAGGTATATCGTCAGGGGGAAGGCACCGAAGACCCTAGTGGAAACGCACCAGGGGTTTCATCGGAGGATGAAGAGAAAGGATCCGGATAGGTTGCAGTTTTATCCGTCGCCGAGCCGGTATCTGGAGGATACGAAGTTTTTGGTCGTTGAGTTGGGGGATGCGGGGACGGCGTTGGAGGATTTTGGGTTGGAGAGTGTGGATCAGTTGTGGGATATATTTTTGCTGGTGGCTATTGCTCTTGCGCGGGCGGAGGATCTCATCCTCTTCGAGGTACGATATGCCTTTGGGAAATTCCCGTTTTCCTCCCCTTTGGACAAAAGTTTACTAACTCACCTCCAGCACCGGGATCTACACGAGGGCAACCTCTGCATCCGCCAAGCTAACCCGCCAAGATCCCGGGATGAATCCCTCCCAGACGTCCACTTCGGCTACTCGGGCCTCGACATCACCATCCTCGACTACGGCCTCTCCCGCGCCGAAGACGAAGACGACAGCACCACGCCCCCCGTAGCCTACGATCTCGAAAAGGACCTATCCCTCTTCACGAGCACCCACGCAGACCAATGCCGCGTCTACCGCCAAATGCGCTCCTTCCTCCTCCGCGGCGACCGCAAATGCCTCCCCGCCTCCCAGCACACGAAACCCTACGCCCCCGCATTCGACGGCGACCCCATTTCGTGGACGGTCTTCGCGCCGTACACCAACGTGCTCTGGTTGGCCTACATCTACGAGTATCTCGTGGCGCACTTTAGCGGCGAGAGGAAGGAACTGACGCGGTTCAAGAGGTTGACGAAGGAGATGTGGACGCATTTGAATCCGGGGGCGAAGGCGGGGACTCCGTGTTTTGGGAGCGCCGGGGATGTGGTGAGGTTTGCGGTCGAGGCTGGGTGGATTTTGGAAAGTCATGTTGTTGGGGATGGGTCGACTTTTGTGGAGAGGGAGGATAGTATTGTTGTGGAGGAGGAGGGGGGGTCTGCGGCGAGGTTGAGACGGTCGCCGAGACAGAGGAGGGTGGATTGATGATGCCTTTTGAGAGGGGAGAGAGCGCGGTTGGTGATTTTCTTATGATTGGACTTATACCCACTTGCGTTTCATTTTTTTTAGCATGACTATAGACATATTTTGCATTCCTGCATCTTGTTTTAACATCATATCTAGACTTTCTTAGGATACACCGTACTAATAATGTCCATTGACAATTGACTTATTACTCCTCGGCTCAAGACAAGTCCTTGGTCTGAATTGATGGAACTCAACATTCCGAGAGAAAACTCCACTCCATACGCCAAAGACTAGCCTCAGATACCAAGGTCTGATAGTTCGATGTGAAATAGCGAGGCAACTGGGCTCAGCAACAGCTTAACCTGGGATACTTAGCACCAGGAGGGGAGTGAGAGGAGCGACATTGAGTGGATGTTGACTCTTGTAAAGTATGAGAGGGGGGATCAGCGGAAACGCAATAACCCATGGGAACAGCAAGACGCCACGAGGTCAAATACTGCCGGTTCCTGACGAAGAATGTTGAGCATATTCGTGCTAATAATACAGGCAACCCACTATTAGTGGGGCGCCTGAGAAGATCACTGATCGATCCATTGTTGCGAAGAGCCCCCAGAGAGGGCTTGGACTGGCCTGCCCCTCGGGACGCAGGAACCGACTAGCCCCGGGAATAAGGTCGGTAGAGCCAGCCAGGCGTCCACAGGTGGAACGGGCACAGGGCGTCGAGACGCAGGGTCGTTAACCCGAAGGGGCTCTAGTCGCGGTGACGGCGACGGGCACGGTGAAAAATAGGAAGGTGATTACTCTACTCCAGAGATTCACTTAAGTGATCGCGGGGTAGAAGAATCAAGGAAGCATCGCGTTGACTTCCAAGAATGGGGCCTTGCCGCTCAAGCGAAGAACGGAAGAGCCTTATCTTCGATCATTACGCACGTCGAACTCGATCCTGGGTCAATCTCCGAGGTCCCTCGTGTGATCCATGATTCCACTGTCGACTGCAGGATCCCTGAAGAACTGGGGTAAATTGGGGAGGGTTGGATCCCCCGGCAAAGATGCCGTATTTGGCGGGTTTGACGAAGTTAATTACCGTGTTATTACCTCGAAAAGCTCAGTACCAGAGGAACGAAATCCTGAATTTCAGCAGTGGCAGCAATTTCCAGCAGGGGTGGCAGCGCAGCAGCTGGGCCGATTCCAGGCTAGCTCATGTGGTGTTAGGAGGTTACTTGACCCTTCTGCGGAGAGGACGTGCTGATCCAGGTACCCAACTATTGATGAGCATCGATCAAAGGCAGCCCGACATCAGCCAAGCCGAGGCTAAAAGCCGCCGCCAAGTCCGAAAACAAGTCGAGTTTGTCAGGTGCTTGAATGTTCTTTTCCCAGCAAACTCCACTTGGAGAGCTTTAGCACATGTTCAACTGACCTGACTTTTTCTCTCTTTCTCTCTTTTGGATTGATTTCCGACTTGCAGGCGCGGCGGATTGCAAGTGTACGAAGTACTCCGTAGTGTACTCATATGTGCCAGGCGGTGCTGGCTTGTCTCTCTTTTCCCTCATCCACCTCGGCCAAACGATATGAGACGCTTTGCAAGCTCCACACATTCGTAAATGGAGCTTTAATCTCCATTTTGTTCTTTTCTCTCTCTTTTTCTTCCTCCCTCTCTATCTCACCGCCCTCCTCTCCCTTCTCTCTCTCCCTCTTGCTTCGCCGGAGAAAAAAAGAGGCCTAAACCAAAATTGTCGGCTAATGGTGTAAATCCCGACAACAACGCCTACCTGGGAGACCCCAAAAAATAACAACATCAAAAAAAAAGGGATCTCCAAAACAAAAAAAAAAAAACACAATGGCGTCACAAGACGATTCCTCCCACTCAGCAACCCTGAGCCCAACCACCACGGCCGCGACCCCCTCCGCCGATGGCTTCCCGACCCACTTCCTCCCCTCGTCGATATCCTCCATGGCGTCCCCCAGGACCCCGAAGCGCGCCTCGGCCATGACGAAGACGTACATCACCAAGACATACCAGCAGGCGTCCACGCTGTTCCTGACGCGTCGTTTGCCCGAGGCCCTCACCACCCTGTTACCCCTCATCACGCCGCCCAGGTCCGGAGACGATGGTTCGGTCAAGGGGGGCCCGCCGGCCGAGCTGGCCCCGATTGCGAGGGCGCCGAGGAATACGCGGATCAAGGTGTGGAGCTTGTATTTGACCATTTTGAACGCGGTGCTGGAGATGGAGCCCGATGAGGGGAAGGATGCCTTTGGGACGCAGGAGTGGAGGGTGTTGTGTAATAAGGTGCGGGATGGAGACGTGTGGGAGGAGGTTGTGCAGAATGGATATCATGGCGTCGAGGGGGACGTTGATTCCGACGTCGTCATCAACCTGTAAGGCGGCATTTCCTCGTCCGCTTCTTCTCATACTCTTGTGGAGCTCTTTTTTGCTAACTGATTCGGTCTAGTGCTACGTTATTGCTTGCCCACGCCCGCACCCAGAACCTCAACCAGAAGAGACTCGAGACCTACCTCGCCACCTGCAACACCCCGAACCTCGACATCTCCCACCGCTTCAATGGCCCCCGCACACCAACCAACCGATACATGTCCCCAGCACGAGGGGCCGTCAGCGGCGCCGACACCCCCCGCGACCTCAACGCGCGTGTCAAAATACTCGAGCTCTACACGCTGCACGTCCTCCTCCGCAACAACGAGTGGGAATACGCCCGAGAATTCATCAGCGTGAGCTCCGTCCTCGACGAAGAGCGCCGCGAGGCCTTCCTGCAAGCCCTCGAGAGCCTCCAAGAGGAACAGCAAGAGGCCGAAAGGCGCGAGCGCGAGGAGCGGGAGAGGCAGCAGGAGGAGCTGAGGCGGGATATCGAGGAGGCGCGGAGGCTGCGCGCTGAGAATGAGAAGATGGAGCAGCGGAGGTTGCAGGAGGAGAGGGAGCGGAAAGCGGCTGCTAGTGAGGTCGATTACGGCATAGAGGAGTCGCCGAAGCCTCTGCAGAAAGCCAAGCCGCGGAATAACATCAAGTCGGCGTTGTCGAAGACGAATAATAATAATAACAACAGGAGACCGGGTCCTGTTGCGTCGCAGCCGCTTACCCTTGGCGATCGAGCTACTCTCATGTTGCAACGGTTCCAGGGCATGCTTGATCACCTAAGCGCGACGTTCCATACGAACCCTATCTTCCTACTAAGGTTGATGGCTTTTGTCTTGGGTCTTATTTTCATGTTTTCGAGCCGCGCTATCCGTGAGAGGGTGAAGAGGATAATGGCCGCCGCTTGGGGGAAGGTGAAGGCGACGGCGGGGATGGGTGTCAAGGTCAGTTATGTATGAGGTCGGGGCGGATGGGAGGACAACTCAGTTTGAAAATGGGCTGGCCGCTATGATAACCGCTCTTGGGGTTTACAGATGTTTTAAAGATTTACATATTCCTTTTGTGTTATTACTACAGCTTCTTGGTATTATTATTGTTTGTTTGGCATTTTTTTTTTTGGCGTATGGGAAGGAGGGAGGAGTGGATTGGAGAAGCTATCATGCATATGAAGATCTCAATAATTAAATTGCATTATGACCTTGCTTAACTACTGTTTCTTGTCGTTGTATGGCCCCTCGCCCTCGAGTTGTTGAGCCGTAGTGACTATTTCAGAAGGACCTGGATGGAGAGAGGATCCGAAGCTTTGCGGAACGATTCTAAGGCCCTGCTGTGGATTGTGAATGTTTCGAAATAGTATCTGTGACCGGACTTCTTTACGCGAATCGGTCGAAAGGGGACGGGGGTGGCGGATATTCTGTTGCGAGCATATGCCCCTCCCTGGAGCCTCGGAGGTCTGTTTTCGCCGGTCCAACGAGGGGAGCCTAAGAACATCTAACTCATCATCGTCATCTCACACTCTCATAACATTAGGGCGCCACCGCTACTACCATTGAACGAAACTTGAAAACCGTACTCTAAATTTTTTGACACTTATATGGTAGTATACCGACAATCTATAAGACGCCTATGCACAAAGCCCACGCAGTCCAAAACCTATGCCGAGAAGGACGAAACCAAAAAAAGCCGACAAGAAAACCTCCAACTCCGCATAAAGGCAAAAACCAAGAATGCCCAGACCCGGGCAACACCGATGTTAGTAATTTGCCGCCCGATTCGTTTTCTTCTGGTAGAATAACTAGATTTCGCAAAAAAAGCTCGTTAGCATCCGACTAAACAAATCGAACTTCAAAAAGAAGAGGAGGTAGAAAACGTACATCTGTCCTGGAACTTCCCAGATTTATAATCTTCGGACACCCATCCCTATCCTTCTCCAACCGCGTACACTCGAAGCAGTAAAACGCGTCGGAGATGCCCTCGCCGCCGCACACGACGCACTTGTTCTGGTAGTTGCCGAAGGAGCACTCGTCGCAGATGCGGACGAGGGTGGTGGGGCGGACGTAGGAGTCGCAGACGGGGCATTTGCCGTCGCATTTGTCGCAGACGCGGCCGATGGCGATGCCGGGTTGTTTGCGGCACATTACGAGGTCGCTGGAAAAGGACAAACAGGTTAGTATCAAAAAAAATCAGCTTTGATATGGACGGGAGGCCGAGGTTGCGGGACTTACGGATGATGGCGAGACATGGCTGCGGGCTAGAGGGAGGTTCGTGCGCTGGCGTGGTTTGCGCGGAGATTGTGGTAGGAATTGGGAGTGTGGTTGTGGTTGTTGAGGTGTAGGTCGAGTTCCCATGTGAGTGTGTGATGCGAGGTTGAGGTTGGTAGAGCTGCTGAAGTCTTCGGGGTGGCGGTTGCTTTGTCAGCGATCCAGGGTCCGGGGGATAGTGGGTTGTACCACTGTACCTTGAGGCTTCAGAGTTGCGGTTTCGCCCCGCATTCAGAACAGCCTGGAATGACCAGCAGGCAGAGCCGCACAGACCAGAACAAGCTCCCTGAAGCTTCCATTTCGCATTTGAAATCTTGCCTTCGCCTCACACGACACACTGAACAGTTTTCCGGGGGATTCGTTGATGTTGCAGACACGTTCCGATCAGCTTCTTGTATTATTAAGCTGTCTGTAGAAAGCTCCTGCCGATTTACGGGAAGTTTACCATCGGTTTCGTCACCAACGGCCCTCCGTCTCTTCGACCATTTTTCTGCGCAAGGGCCAGATCATCACCTGCAGCTCGCGCGGCAAGCCTTTTTTTTTTTTTTTTGTCCCATCGACCATGTCCACCGAGATAATATCCGGTGCCCCAGCTCTAGAGGAGACACCCAAACCCGAAATTGACACCAACAACCTCAAGCGAAAAGCATCATCTAGCCCCCCTGCCGAACCCGACTCCCCGAAGCGCCCCAAGACCGAAACGCCGAGCGATAAGCTCCAACCCCCCACCCCGACCAGAACCTCGCCCGAAGCCAAAGCAAGCGATGCGGACAGAAAGGATCGCAGCGCCGTTTCTATCGAGGAGGCTCGCGCGCGCGTGGCGCGGGAAGAAAAGAGCCGGGGGAGACGACTGTTCGGCGGGCTCCTCGGGACACTGAACCAACGGGGGATGACGGCGCAGCAGCAGAAGAGGTTGGAGATTGAGAAGAAGCAGCAGGAGAGGTTGAAGCAGCAGAGGGTTGCGGCGCTGGAGGCGCAGGCGGGGAGGAAGTCGAAGATTGAGGAGAGGAGGAAGGTGTCGGAGATTCACTGGAAGGAGCTGGTGGTGAGTTTTACATTCCCACGAGGCGCTCGGTTTGTGGGGCACAGTTATTTAGACAGAAAGTTCTAACTACTGGTTACTAGCTGAGGGAGCAGCATAGAGCTCTGAGGCAACGGGCGAGGGTATTGCATACAAAGACGCTGCCGTCAATTGTAAGTCTTTGTCGCTCATGCTAGCCGGCTTGACAACATATTTTTTTTTCTCTTTAGGCTATATTTGGCTGACTGATCTTTTTACTAGCAATGGAAACCTTGGAGATACACCGAAGCCCAGAAGGAGATTATCCGAGAGCAGAAAGAGGAGGCCGAAGAGAAAATCAAGAGAGACCTCGAGGAATTCCAACTAAAGAAAGAAGCCCATGCGCGGAAATTCAACCTACCACCGCCTCCGAGACGCGAAGAGCCCCAGGAGGCCAAGGCACCCCGGGAAACGCCCGCCGAGAAGGAAGCTGATGAGACGTCCACCGTAATAGCGAAGCATGTCGGGTCTGCCGCCGCCGTCACCGAGGAGCCCAAGGAGGCTCGTTCGGATGTTGATAAGGAGCAGAATGATGAGTCGGGGGACGTTATGATGGAGTCGGGTGAGGACGTTGTCATTTACTGAGCGATGGTGTTTGTTTTCCTTACTTCTTCTTCTTCTTCGGCTTTCACCCTGTACGGGTTACCGGTTGCTGGTGGCATCACTCGCACTCCCTCTTTTCTTAATTCCTTGTTTTTCCTTTTTCTATTCTCTGCTTTCCCGGATGTTTTTGTGGTTTTAATAGTTTGCCCCTCGTGTTTCGAGTGATATCCCCCAGCATTGCATAGGCGCATGGTTTTATCTCTGTTTTGATCGTTGTTTGCGTGTAACTACGAGGATGAAGGTGGCTTTGATTTCTTTCTGTTTCTTATGACAAACGGCCTTTGTTAAACGCGAATTCGCGGGCAGTTCTACAATTGTAGCCATTGCTCAAACTTAGTAATAGAGCATGTGCTTCAGACAAACAGCATCATTCGTGTCTGACCCTACTTGGAACTGCCAGACGAATACCCGACCCCGCGGACACTGGACACGCAACGCATCAAAGGGGGGTGGTGAAACAAGTTTGGTCTCCAGCTCGGGCACCTCGCTAGCACCTCTCACATGAAAAAGACACCTCTCCCATTAAATTCAAACTCAGCCCCCTCCTCCAACCAAGATCCACGAAACCCAAAAAGAAAACCAATCACCAACCTCTATTCCCACCATGTGCAGCCACACTAAAAGAAGCAAGCAATAAGTCCACAAGGAGGAGGAGGGGCCAGAGAGAGGGGGTGGTCAAGCGGTGTGCTAAACAGGCTTTGAGGATCTGATCAATTGATGTCTATCTGAACAAGCGGCGAAAAAAGGCTCCCTCGGAGGAGCTTGGGAAGCGGGGGTGAACCATGAAATTTGCCACCCAGGGGTCTTGACGTGAGCTTGAAAGAGGGGAAGGATTGGGAAGCTGAATGGGTGGTGGTCGCCACCCGGAGATCAATTGATCAAATTGATGGATCATCTTGGCCTAATTCGTCGTGTCGCCGAGGCATGATTTGGTTTGTGTTACTTGTTAGTCCGGAGCTATTTGCATGCGGATGCGGGGGACGCGGGGGTGGAGGGAGGAACACAGAAACACAAGCTAAAGCTCCAAGGGGGCAGGGTGAGAGCTAAGGGGAGCGTGAGCTCCGTCGCTATAGCAAATTGAACTATAAATCCCCCGAGCTATCTTGCTGTCCATGACTCTGACACTCCTCTTCAATCCTCCCCTCCCCTCATCTACATATCCCATCCTCCTTTACACTTTTCCTCATACACACTCAAATTGCAATTCTAGTCTCACATATAAAACCACCTCTATTGAAATAAAACTGCAAAACAATGGTTGACAAGATAGTCCCCAACGATCCCCGAGTCCAAAGCCACACCGCCCTCATCCGCGGCAAAACCTACCACTACCTCCTCGCCAACCCCCCCACCTCCCCACCAGTCGACACCGTCCTCCTCCTCCACGGCTTCCCCGACCTCAGTCTCGGCTGGCGCTACCAGATCCCCGCCCTCCTAGCCCTCAACCTCCGCGTCATCGTCCCCGACAACCTAGGCTACGGCGGCACCGACGCCCCCGTTGAGCCCGAGCGCTACTCCCTCAAGAACCTCTCCGACGACGTCGCCGAGCTCGTCAAGCACGTGTGCGGACCCAACGTCCCCGTCATCGTCGGCGGGCACGATTGGGGCGCGGGGTTGGCGTGGAGGGTCGCGCTTTGGCATCCCAAGATCGTGAAGGCGGTGTTTTGCGCTTGCGTGCCGTATGGACCGCCCAAGGAGAAGTGGGTGCCGTTGGATGTTATTATCAAGGCGGGAAAGTTGCAGAATTTCAGGTATCAGCTGCAATTCCAAGGCGAGGATGTCGAGAAGCAAATTCAGGGCAAGGAGAAGATTAAGCAGTTCTTGAATGCCATGTTCGGCGGGAAGACTCCCGATGGGGAGTCCGGGTTCTCGACCCGGGACGGCGTCCTTTTTGATATCATCGAGAAAGTGGGGCAGTCGCCACTCGTTACCCCTGAGGAGATCGACTTTTACGCCGAGCAGTTTGCGAGGAACGGTCTGCATGGTCCGTTGAATTGGTATAGGACCGGCGAGCTCAGCTACAAGGAGGAGGTACCGCTGCTGAAGAAGGGCCTCAAGGGTCTTCGCATCAATATTCCTAGCTTATTCATCGCCGCTTCGAAGGATCAGGCGCTACCGCCGGCGATGGCGCAGAGCATGGGTGAACACTTTGACCGGCTGACGAAGGTCGAGGTCGATGCGAGCCACTGGGTGTTGTGGCAAGGGGCGGAGGAGGTGAACCGGCACCTGAAGGACTGGCTGCAGACGGCGGTCTGGAACCCCCGCCGGCCGTCCCTTTGAAGGGGCTTGGGAACACGGCGATTGATTCTCTTGGTATTTGGATTAAATAGGGCGTTGGAGCACCTATTTGGAAGCGTTTAAGGTGTAGGGCTAGTTTATATACTGGAGTTAAACAATGAATCATGATTAATTGTTATAAGGTCACATCGGAGTGTTATCCATCGGTGTTATATGCGTCCAGATAGCCATGCCCTCAAGGTCCTGCCCGCACTGGTATATCGTAGTTTACCTCGAGGAGGGTAGTGTTCTCAGCCTGTCGGTATTCAGCCTGTCGGTATTCACCTCTCGGCCGTCTCAGTTCCGTCTCCCTAGGTGTTACTTGCCGCTACCCGAGTCTGCTGGCTGGGGTCGACGCGCGTGGCTGGGCAGTGGTTACTCTGGCCCTCCGCCTGAAAGAACTCATGGCATGAGATCCTCTGTGTGATTGGTGAGAGATCGAAGTCTTATGTACCACCTCTTCACTTGAGATTGAATTTCTGACCGCTGATCACAGGCGCGCCAGTCTTTGCCTTCTTATTAGGTTTACCGCACATGGCGCATGCTTCTGGAAGTTAGCTAACTTGGTTTCCATGCCGGTTTTAAGAGGTAGGAATGATTACTCACCATCTTTCTGATATGCGCAAGACTGGCAGTACGTAAAGCCTTGAGATACCTTGGTCTTGCATTTTGAGCAGGAACTCGCATACTGAGCATAAGGATTCTTGGCAGATTTCGAAAGTAGTTTGCTCTGAAATTTATGTTAGAGAGGAGACGAATAAAATAAATGGGGAGCTGGGGGACCAACCTTGGTAACACCAGCGTTTGCTAGCGTCACGCTCTTCTTATCTGCTCCCTTGGATGAGGAAGCCGGAGAACCGTAGTACATCTCGCTCTTCTTCTTGACCTCCGGGGTCGCGAGGGTTGTCCCCTTGGTGAGCTTCTGGCACTTGGAGCAGACCATGATTGCGGTGGCGGCTTTCGTGAGGCTGATGATGTAAGGCTTGATGGAGTTGCTGGTAAAATCTGAACTGAGCAAGTCAAGCTCACTCTGGGACTAGTAGCTTGTGAGAGTGTTTGTAAGGCACAGTTAGAATGCTACGTAGTTCATGGGTTGCTGTGTGAATTAAGCTGATAAGGCGGTGTGAGAGTGAAGGATGGATGTTGTGTGTTGGTTGAGGCTCGGCTGTTTGACAATGGTTGATATTGAGAAGATCTCAGGCCTCTTCGGGGGTCTTTCCAGCACTTTGCAGCCGCCGTGGGATATTCTTAGTAACCCCAGCCACAAATATCTCCAAGCTAAGCTTTACATAGTGCAAGTGTGGGATGATGTGCATCCTGTACTGTGCGGTGCTGCCGGCGTCCCAAGTCTTGCTTGTATATTTCGTACTTCGCAGTGTACGAAGTACAAAGTACACTATTACCTCATTGCCAGGCCTCGTATAATAAACTCCGACTGTACATGTGCTTGGCTGGATTGGGCTAGTTGCACCGACGCTTTCAAGTTATTTCCCACCTCAGCCACTGCTTTCGCATCATCAGCCCAACGGCTCCTTCGGAATCGTCACACTGGCATTCGGGCTGAAAGGGAAGAAGGAAAAGAAATCAATTGATGCCTGCTAGAAACAAGCTTGCAAAATCCACGCCTTAAGTTTCACCGTTTAAAGCACTGGGAGCGAATACAGATAAAGAGAGAGAATGTTATCTCAGCAATTTTCTTTAGAGAGGTACCTTGACCTCCTGCTTCGTTCATGAAGTTTATATTGGAGGAAAGTGGGCTGCCCACCTGTAACATGCCCCAGCCACAGGTGCAAACACAAGCTTGCAGCTGGGATGCCAGGCTGACACAGTTGTTGTCATCTCCAATACTGTCTAACACTTGTCCAATACTGTCAACCTGTTGCTTTGGGCAAGTAGTGTACAGTGCTCCCAGCCCGGCTCGACGGTGCTACGGTGCTACGTAGACTCCGTCTTGGTTTCTTGGTCTTTGCAAGTTTTACAGTTTACCCCTGTCTTCCAAAAAACCCAATGATTCTTGACCATTCATTCACACCACGTAACTTCGCACTCCTTGTAGGCAACGTCTGCGCCAGAAAAGGAGGCTGTGCTGGGCTGGCCGCGACAAATGAATTCGGAAATATCGAACCCTTTGTCAATCATCCGCATCCGCATCCGCCTTCGAGACTTCTGAAAGAATCTCCCATCCCCGAACACGTAATTCAACTTCACTAATGTTTCTGGAGCGAACTGCTACTACGACGCTAAGCTGAGCTGACGAACTTCGTTCCGTCCCTCGAAAACTTTCCCATTCGTTTCGTGCGCACCTTGACATCTGAAAGCGAAAGAAGGAAAAAAAAAGGACTACGCAGCTTTTTTGATGATTTTCACCCTTCCCCTTCGCTCATCATCTCGAAACCCCCCCCCCCTTTGTCGAGCCCCTCCGAATCTGTTTACCCGCCCAATGAAACATCTCGCTGGCTGAGTTGCAACAGAGCTCGAAAGCATTCCAACAATTCGAACGTCCCTCGTTATCCGCATGCAGCCCATTAATCCTAATTCATCATCGCAATCGAGCCTGTCCTGATCGAACCGAACCCCCGTATCCGTCATCCTAATCCTCGCAGCCCCCGAGGGCTTCCCCTTCCGCCATGTCGGACAGACCTACGCGTGGGCGGCCCCAGCACTCGCGGAACAGTCTCATAGATCTAGAAAACGAACAACCTGTATATTACACCGGCCAGCGCTCCGACCTTAATGACGATGACCTCCTTCGATCTTATACCACCGACCACGACCCCCAAAGTCGCCCATCCGTTTCATATGATGACTTTGTAGGAGGAGCAGGAGGAAGAGGAGGAGTGGGAGGCGGCGGTGGCGGCGGCTTCAGAAACCAGTATTCGACTGGTGCATCACCTCCTCAACAACAAGCCGGTGTCGTCGGCGCTAACACAGGTCCCTACCAACTAAACCGCTACGAGAGCAGTCAGTCATCAGGGCTGGGTAACTACCAGCGGTACGCCGATGACTTCGACGACTATCCCACCGATGCCGACTCGTACTACCAACAAGGCGGCACCGTACCGCCCTCGACTGGCCCGACCGCGGCCCGGCAGAACGCGCGACAACGGAATAGCGTTCTCGGGCTCGGTGGCGGCTTCTTCGGTCGAGTGAAGAATCGGTTAGGCATGGGCCAAGGGTACTCGGAGATGGACCTACCTTTAACGGAACAGGCCAGCACAAGGGTGGACTCTGGCAATCTTGATCAAAGGAGTACGACGAAAAAGGAAAGCAAGTTTGATCTGGGCAATTTCAAGTTCGGCTTTGGAAGATCGAAACCCGATCCGGCGACCTTGGGACCCCGTATAATATATCTCAACAACCCGCCGGCGAACGCGGCGAACAAATACGTCGACAACCACATCTCGACGGCAAAATACAACGTTGCGACCTTCCTCCCGAAATTCCTCTTCGAACAGTTCTCCAAAGTCGCCAACATCTTCTTCTTGTTCACCGCTGCGCTACAGCAGATCCCAGGACTGTCGCCCACGAATCAATACACGACCATTGCGCCCCTTATCATTGTGCTGCTGGTGTCGGCTGGTAAGGAGTTGGTGGAAGATTACAAGAGGAGACAAGCCGACAAGGGCCTCAACATGTCCAGAGCCCGCGTCCTGCGGGGGTCTGAGTTTGCCGAAACGAAGTGGATCAATGTGGCCGTAGGCGACATTATCAGAGTCGAATCCGAGGAGCCATTCCCTGCCGATTTAGTTCTTCTCGCCAGTTCCGAGCCTGAAGGTCTCTGCTATATTGAAACGGCGAACCTCGACGGCGAAACCAATCTGAAGATCAAGCAAGGCCTGCCGGAAACTTCGACTATGGTTAGCACGAGCGAGCTCTCCCGCCTAGGTGGGCGGATCAAGTCGGAACAACCCAACAGCAGCCTGTACACGTATGAAGCTACGATTACGATGCAGACCGGCGGTGGTGAAAAGGAACTCCCTCTCAACCCCGAGCAGCTTCTCCTCCGCGGCGCTACCCTGAGGAATACCCCCTGGATCCACGGCGTCGTCGTCTTTACCGGTCACGAGACGAAGCTTATGCGCAATGCCACGGCGGCACCGATTAAGCGCACCAAGGTCGAGAAGAAACTCAATCTCCTCGTTCTTCTCCTGGTCGGCATTCTCTTGGTTCTCAGCATCATCTCAACCATTGGCGACTTGGTGAGCCGTAGGATCGACTTTGACTCTCTGTCGTACCTCATGCTGGAGCCCATCAGCGATGCCGGCCAGATTGTCAGGGCTATCCTGAAGGACATGGTCACATATTGGGTTCTCTTCTCATCTCTCGTTCCTATTTCCCTCTTCGTCACGGTCGAAATCGTCAAGCTTTGGCACGGTCTGCTCATTAACGATGACCTGGACATGTACTACGACCAGACGGACACGCCGGCCAACTGCAGGACGTCCAGCTTGGTGGAGGAACTCGGCATGGTCGAATACGTATTCTCTGACAAGACTGGCACGCTTACCTGCAATATGATGGAGTTTAAGCAGTGTAGTATTGCCGGAATCCAGTACGCCGATGAGGTGCCCGAAGACCGGAGAGCGACGATCCAGGACGGCGTCGAGGTTGGAATCCACGACTTTAAGACACTTCGGCAGAACCTAGAGAACCAGCACGAGACGGCTGCCGCCATCGACCACTTCCTTGCACTCTTGGCCACCTGCCATACAGTCATTCCCGAGCGAGAGGAGGAAAAGGGTGGCAAGATCAAGTACCAGGCCGCTTCGCCCGACGAGGGTGCATTGGTAGCCGGTGCCGTGGAGCTCGGCTACACTTTCACGGCACGGAAACCCAAGTCGGTTATTATCGAGGCGGGTGGCCGGGAGCTGGAGTACGAGCTCCTAGCCGTGTGCGAGTTCAACTCTACCCGAAAGCGAATGTCAACCATCTACCGGTGCCCCGACGGCAAGATTCGGTGTTACTGCAAGGGAGCCGATACCGTTATTCTTGAGCGCCTCAACGACAATAACCCCCACGTCGAGGTCACGCTGAGGCACCTTGAGGAGTACGCGTCGGAAGGTCTTCGGACGCTTTGTCTAGCCATGCGAGAGATTCCCGAGCCGGAGTTCCAGGAATGGTACCGGGTATTTGACCAGGCCCAGACCACCGTCGGCGGCAACCGTGCCGAGGAGCTGGACAAGGCCGCCGAGATTATTGAGCACGACTTTTTCCTACTTGGAGCCACGGCCATCGAGGATCGTCTCCAAGACGGCGTGCCGGAAACGATTCATACCCTCCAGCAGGCGGGCATCAAAGTGTGGGTGTTGACAGGCGACAGGCAGGAGACGGCCATCAACATCGGCATGAGCTGCAAGCTTCTCAGCGAGGACATGATGCTGCTGATCGTAAACGAAGAATCGGCCGAGGCGACGCGCGAAAACATCACGAAGAAGATCGAGGCCATCCGAACGCAAGGCGACGGAACGATCGAGCTCGAGACGCTGGCGCTTATCATCGACGGCAAATCCCTTACGTACGCGCTCGAAAAGGACCTAGAAAAACTCTTCCTCGACCTCGCCGTCATGTGCAAGGCCGTCATTTGCTGTCGCGTGTCGCCGCTCCAAAAGGCGCTCGTGGTGAAACTCGTCAAGCGGTATCAGAAGGAGTCGATCCTCCTCGCTATCGGCGACGGTGCGAACGACGTGTCGATGATCCAGGCGGCGCACATCGGCGTCGGTATTAGCGGCGTCGAGGGTCTGCAGGCGGCGAGGAGCGCTGATGTGGCGATTGCGCAGTTTAGGTATTTGAGGAAGTTGCTGCTTGTGCATGGGGCATGGAGCTATCAGCGGGTTAGCAAGACGATTTTGTTTTCTTTTTATAAGAACATTACTCTGTACATGACGCAGTTCTGGGTAAGTTTTGATTGGCACAGTTTTTCTTGCTTGGATTCCTTTTCTTCTAACACCCACATAGTACACTTTCCAAAACGTGTTCTCCGGACAAGTCATTTACGAATCATGGACACTATCTTTCTACAACGTGTTCTACACGGTCCTCCCTCCCCTGGCCCTAGGTATCCTCGACCAGTTCATCTCGGCGCGTCTCCTCGACCGCTACCCGCAACTCTACCAGATGGGCCAGCGCAACGAGTTCTTCCGGCTCAAAGTTTTCGTGCAATGGGTCGGCAACGCCGTCTACCACTCGATCATCCTGTACATTTTCGGCGAGCTCATCTGGTACAACGACCTCGTCCTCGGCGACGGCAAGATCGCGGGCCATTGGGTCTGGGGCACGGCCCTCTACGGCGCCGTGCTCCTGACGGTCCTCGGCAAGGCGGCGCTCATCACGTCCAACTGGACAAAGTACCACGTTCTGGCCATCCCCGGGTCCATGGCGATCTGGTGGGTGTTTATCGCCGTGTATGGTATCGTGGCGCCCATGGCAAACGTATCGAGGGAGTACACGGGGGTTATACCCAAGCTGTACGGGAATCCGGTCTTCTGGTTGCAGACTGTGGTGTTGGCGATTATGTGTTTGATGAGGGACATTGCTTGGAAGTTTGCTAAGCGGATGTATTTCCCGCGGACGTATCATCATATTCAGGAGATACAGAAGTATAACATTCAGGACTACAGGCCACGGTGAGCCCCCCCTCCTCCCTTTCCCTCTCTCTCTCTCACATCCACAGCATGAAGCTAATATATTTTTTTCTTTTTTAGAATGGAGCAGTTCCAAAAGGCCATCCGCAAGGTCCGACAGGTCCAGCGCATGCGCAAACAAAGAGGCTACGCCTTTTCGCAGGCGGAAGAAGGCCAGACGAAGCTTATCCAGGCGTACGACACGACGCAACACCGTGGTCGGTACGGAGAGATGGCGAGCTCGCGGCCGGGGGCGGCGGGACATCCCTTTTAGGAGTGGGGAGGTAGTTTATTCCTTCTTTTACACACCGTTCCTCGCCTTTTTCAACAAATTTTCATCTCGCATTTCTTTTTTTTTTTTTTTTTTTGACCCTATGAAGTGTATGGATTATAAACTATGAGAGGGAAACATTATTTTCTTGTCTCCGGTGCCTTTTAGTTTTCTTTCCTTCTTTTACCGATTTATTGTTTTGAGGGTGGAGGGGTTTCTTCTCTGTATGTATGGAACGTATGTATTTTTCTTCTTTTTTTTTTTTTTTCCCCTTTTCTCTTCTCGGTTTGGGAAAGGGTGGGGACAGAGATATTCCGCCTTTTATGTATGAAAAAAAAAGAAAGATTAAAGATTTTATGGCCTCTTGAGATTTCTTTTGCCTTTTGAACTCTTTTTTTTGGCGTGCTATGCTTCGAGGGATGGGTATCGTTGGGTATCCGTTTTCTCTCTCGGGGATCTCCCGCGTTCTAGCGAGGATACATAGTAGAGGGATGATGTGCTGTGATACGTCGAATGAGTTGTCCGAGGAGGAATGTTCATGAAATGTTGGATGTTGGAGCGTTTTGGCTTGTGTTGTTTTCTCGGCTCGGGAATGGAGGAATGTGCGGGAGGGGAAAAAGAGCATGAATGCAGAACAAAAAAGAGATCAAATGGGAGAACAAACCATGACGTTTTCATGCTGTATACAACAGTGCTACGCTACTCTTCTCCTATATTCTCATGAACTCTCCCCCCTTCTTAAAGCTGAGCAGAAGAGGACTAGTAAGAACCCTCCTTTGAGAAAATAACACGAAGATGATGGATGATATGCACTCTCTCTCTTCGCACAGGCTTCTAGAGTTACAGTTACACCAATAAAACCCAACAGCCCCCATCCCAACTAAGGCAAAGCGTTTCTTCCTCTCACCTCTTCTCTTCATGCGCCCCAGAATTTCTGTTTAATAATACCAAACATCAATCTTGGCCCTCTTTTCTCAGCCAGCTTGTCTATTACCCCGCAAAATAGAATAGAATAACTGGCCCCTCCACTCATATTTTCCCCCCCTTTCCCCCTCGCCGAGATTAAGTTATGACTACCTCACGGCGCACGGAAGCCCGTGTTTGTCGGCGCAGGGGAAAAGCTGGGATCAAAAAAACGCGGGGGTGGTAGCATTGACCAGACTTAGGGGGGAAGCAGGGAAACACCAAACAAGGAAACTATTAAGACCAACGGATTGATGGGATTCTTTTCTCTTCCGTCTCTTTTTCTAATGTCGCTATTCACATGACCCTCCCTGGCGGCGCTGCGACCTCGCTGCAGGATATAAGAAAGGAAAGAAAGACGAAATAGCTAAGAGGACATCTTTCTTCCTCTTACCAGATTATTAATCCAAAGTAAAACGAGGCGACGGAAGAGGGAAGCCAAAGGAGGAGAGGAAAAATGAGGCTTGTACCGAGGTATCATTGAGATGTCTAGCTCCTCCCCCGAACCTCCTGCTCCTATCGACAAGCAAAAGCATATCCGCAACACCCGAATTGATCCCCCAATTCTCAGTTCCCAATTTTCCTACGACATCAATTAACGCCTCTTTGGACTCCTTGAAAAAGCATAGTTTTGAAACTAGCACAGTCTACAAAAAAGAATCTGTTACACTTGACGACGGCATCAATCTCTCAGTCCCCCCCAGATTCTTGGCGCCCGAACTAGTAGTAACCCGCCCATCAGCGTCTTGACCCCCGGCCCCAAACAAAAAAAGGGGGTCGCATTACCCCGGATTTTTTTTTATTTCCTTTTTGGCCAAAAACGCCCAAAACTTAGTCCCAACATCCAGGGAGTTCGAAAAGAGGTCAGCTGGGCAAGGAACAATCAACCTCTCCCCCCCTCTTTTCTTCGCCTTTGTTCTATTGCCTCAATGTTTCGAATTATATGGCCCCCTTTATACGGGTGGCATTGCCATCTTAATCCCAGGAAATAAGACACATACTATGTTCACCGTTAAAATACGTACACCGAATCCTCCTTGGTCAAGTGGGGGGGACGCAAAAGACATCCACCTCCTGCAATCTTGACAACCTCCACCTCCTCCCGTCCTGCATCCTCTTCATCCCCCGTCCGCCCAGGCCCCAGACATCCCAATTGCCGTTACCCCACGCAGCAAAAAACCAACACACGGCCCAATGGCCTATGCGGCGCTAGGGGAATTGAACAACATTGGCGTTTTGCTTTTGCTAGTGCCCGGAGTAGCATGTTCTCGTGACCTCATGACTCGTGCCACTTTACTTCAGAGAATGCTGTGTTTCTTCTTCATTTGAGCCGAGGCTTCATTGTATATATGGTATATATGATGTATGTATGTATGTGTGTATATGTATGCATGCAGTAATAGTAACAACTCATCCCTTTCCCCAAGGAGGAAAAGGCAAAGTGACATCCCCCTGTCTTCTCGCCAATATTTTTGTAAAACATTCCCAGACCTCCCTTGGCTTCCTCCTCTGGCCCTCCCATGATTATACAGTAGGTAATAAGTCATAAAGTCGTGAACCCATGGCAAGGGGCATCCCCACTCACCCTTCCTTTCTCCACGTTTTAGTCGTCCCTGATTCCCACCCCACACCCCCCCTGACGAAACCAACCCCGCAGTTTTTGTTTTGTGACTGGCTAGCCATGGCCGTAGCAGGAGTAGTGTAGATCTTGTAAGCTAGAAACAGCGAGCAGCAGCAGCAGCAGCCAACGCGCACGGTTCCCCCTTAATTCGTTCATCGACTGACCATTGGCGTCACCAGCTCGATGCTCTTGGGCCTTGAGTAACCACCTGGCCGACGAGACGGGAGCGGGCGATCCACCCCGCTGGAACTGTAGTGACCAGCGTACCCACCACTAGCCATGCCCATCCCCGACGAGGCGTACCCCATTTTCCCGTACGCACTGTCGTAGGTCGACGAGAACCCCCCACGTGGATAGGTCGTCTCCGGGCTTGCCGCGCTGCGCGTGAATGGCCAGAGGCTGGATCCTACTCCACCACCAGCACTACCTGTCGTCGGTGACGGCGGGCTGCCCGACCGGATGGTAAGTGACCGAAGAGCCGAGATTGCTGCTGTTGCGTCACCCGGCATCACTGGCGAGGACGCAAAGTACGTTGACGTAGGTCTAGAGGGGCAGGCGCGCGGGATGATGTCTTTGGGTTCGCGGTATTGTCCCGAGTTGTATAATGATGTGGATGAGTTGGTAGATTGTTGTTGGTAGCCCGTGCTTCTCGCCCCATGGGGTGGAATGTGCTGGAATGAGTTTTCGTCATATTCGCGGCATCTGTGAGGCGTATTGGTCATTTGGTTCTCTCCTGCTGGGGGGTTGTGCATGGGGTAATAATACATACGCTTCTGAGCAGTAAAGGCATCGGTCGTCGGCGGGCAGGAACTGCTTTTCGCAAGCCATACTACCACGGTACATAATTAGCTTGGAAAATAAAATAAAATAAAATAAAAAAAAAGACAACGAAAAAATGTAGGGAAAAAAAAGATCTCTAGGCGCTGTGGCGGCCTGCAGGAACAGCGCTACCATCGTCCTATCGCCCCGAACCATTCGTCGAACCTTTCGGCTCATGAGAGCACAACGGCGATCCCCGTTCACAATTTCCGGTCACGTCGCAGGTCAGGTGGTGATGCACGACGACGGATGGGGTAATATGGCCCCAACAAGTGACCCGCCTCTGAACTTGGCCTGCGTGAGGAGAGAGAAGAATGACTACTCTTTCGCTATTTCCTCGGGAATTGGTGTGCATACCATACCGACCTCCTTTGGCGGGAACAGTGGATGACGGCTAGCCATAGCGCAAAGGATGGAGAGGAGAGGCAAAAGGAAAAGAACCCCGGGGGGGGATTAAAATTATTGAAAAAAAAAAAAAAAAAAAAAAAAAAAAAAAAGGGTCATGAAAAGGGTAAGAAGAAAGAAAATCAACGGAAACTTACCAGTACTGGGGAAAGGTATCTCGACCGTCCCCGTCATCAGCGTACTCGTAATATTCCCTTTCCCTTTCCTTGGGGCTCTTCCCGAGTTTGTAGTTCGATTGGTCCCTCGACTTCTTAGATGAGCTGCCGGAACTTCGCTGTCGATGCGAGGAGCTCGTGGCTTTCCTCACGTCCGTCAGGGATGTGTTCGCGGAGAGGCCTTGGCCGGATTTCCTCCGGCTGTGGTGTGTGCTCGGCATGTTGGTGTAGTTGAAGTGTGTGTTTTGTGAATTAGAGAGCGTAAAAGTGAAGAGAGAGAGAGAGAGATGTTGAGTTCCGTGTTAGCCAGGCGGCCCTGGATCAAGCAATGTTCAAGTACCAGCCAAGGTATGGAGAGAGCGGGCGGTAAAGGAAGGCCTTGCTGAATAAGGCAGAAAGAAGAGAGACAGAAAAATGAGAACAGATGGGGAGATAAAGTATTATGTTGCTTCCAGTCTGGAGCTGTGGGGTTAACGTCTGTCTTTTTCGTTGTCCCACAAGCTCTATAAGCGAGCTAAATAGTCGATCGGGGTCGTTCCCACTGAGGAGAACGGCTAGACGAGGGGGGTATGAGCTTGAAAAGAGTCAGGGGGTGTTATCGATTCAAGCCCAAGATCCCCGCTTGGATGTGGATCAATCCGAAAAGAAATACAAGGGCAAAGGGTGAGGAAGAAAAAAAAATTTTTTTTCTTCTTTCAATCGCGATAATCTCCTAGATTAGGTGCGCGTGCGTACAGCCGATTCTCGGGTAGGCTGCTCAAGGTGGCGAAAAAGAGTCTGCTCAATTTGGGGAGTGGTCACAGTGGTGGTGTGGTGTTTGGTGAACTTCCTTCCCAATGAAGCGATGCTGACCGGCGGTTAATCGGGGCTCCGAGCTGAATTGGAAATAGAAAGCAGGTACGCAGCAAATCTTTTCTCGTCTTTTGTTTTCTCTTCTTTCCTAATCCGCTGCGCCTTCTCGAGAAACTGGAATTCTCTATCGTTTGATCCTTGGCTATTGGTCGAACCAGGGAGTCAAATTGAAATTTGACAGGAAAATGTAGGGAGTGTGAGTGGGACGAGAGGCGCGAAGTACGAAGTAATGCGAAAAGAATTAACGAATTGGCTGTGGCGTAGCCTTATAATTCCCTTGAGAATGAGCTGCCCACTGTTTGTTTGGCACGACGAGCAGGAACCTCTTGCCAAGAAATCCGGGGGAGTCCAGAGCTCTAAAATACTCTAATAAGAATGCGCAGGGCGGCGGCGGGAGGGGCTGCTTCGCAGAGGGCAACCCGGAGAATAGCTTGAGAAATCGGGGTTAAGGTCTTTTTGAACAAATCAATCAATCAAATTTCGGCGAGACCTGGATGGCTTCGACAAGAACGAGAATAGCCCCGACAACCTCTTTGGCAGATTGGGTCTGGTCAGAGATGGCGCCAGAACTCGTACACAAACTGGGGCTTTGATGTACAAGTGTACGAAGTACCTATCAGGGTCGGCAAGCAGTTCCGGGTTGGTCGGGTGGGCGCAGTCAGCGTCAGGCGGGCGGGCAGGTGATAAGAAATAAGGACCAAAAGAGGAAGAAGGTCTGACGCCTGGCTCCTGAGGCTTGGATTGGGGCCTTGTCTTTTTTTTGTAGTCTGTCCAAACTTGGTATGGAAAGTAGAGGGGTACGAGGGACAAAAGGCGGCGTCGATGGTGTAATCCAATGGAATGGATGGAATGGGTGAATTGGAACGCGTCGACAGAACAGGGAAAAAAAAAACCGGGCGGGGGCTTGTGACTTTTGTCCGCGCCTCCTGTGTGGGAGCTGAGAGGGAGAATGAGCAGGTTTGGGTTGTCGACTTGACGGTTGTGAGTCGGTTTTGGGACTTTGGGACTTTTAGGAGTGAGCTCGTTTTCTTTGGGGGCTTAGTTCTTTACAGCAGATCTTCTCGGGTGTTGTCAGCGCTTGTCGGTCGAATGGCGTTAGTTGCGTCACCGATGGTGTAAGTGTGGTGACTGGTCCACCGATGAGCAGTGATCAGTGGCAATGGCGACAGTGAGGGACAGACCGCCAGCACCTTGAGGGGCTCTCAAAAAGCTTGGAGGGCCCGGGCGGATACTGAAACAGGTGAGAGACAAAAGTAATGTGCTGCACAAATTGATTGATTGGATTGCCCAAGGAGGAATTGGGTCGCGAACTAGGATCGACAGACAGGTGGTGTCGAAGTTATATATCTGTTTCGCGAAAGGGGACCGTTTCTTTGTGTTTCGACCGGTTCGTTGCAATTGTGAATATTATTCACAACAGACTGAAGATCCCCAAATTGCCTGGGGGGGATTGATGTCTAAGAATATGAATCCCGGTGTATGGGGGATATGATCGGTTTAAGGAGAAACAAATATGTGAAGAAAAATTTAGAAAAATAAAGCAAAACCCCGACTCCTACTATATCCGGTGACTTCGACTTCGTATACGAAAACTCGAGCCAGCTGTGGAACGAGTTAGACAATCAATTTGCGAAACGGAGGAATCGAACTATTTAGCTGCGGGTTGGACTGATCGAGATCTGGGCGACGGGCGTGGGATCAGGGAAGAGCAGGGAGAGCACTTACATGGAGCAGGTGGGAGGCCAAGGTGGGAGGCAGAGGGTGTGAGAGTGGGAGTGACTTGGAGTGAGTGGGAGCGCGGGTGGGGAGTAGCTCCAGAGGGCAAAAACGTGGTTCCTGACCCGATTCTTGACTGGCTTCTCTGGCTTCTCTTGCTTCTTTCGCTCTCCGCTTTTCTCAAGTAAACTCTGGCAAGGTTCAGGCAGGAACACGCCCTGGGTCTAGGGCTGGACAAGTCCAAAAAAAAAAAATTTTTTTTTTCCTTGTCTCGACTGTTGGAACGTCTCAAAAGAAACGAACCAGGAATAAATTTTGAAAATGAAAATAAAAAAGAGAGTTGCCCAAGACTGTATCACCGGCCAGACACCGGAGGAGCAAGGCCCAATAAATGTATTCGAGGAACCAGCCACGAGAGATTCGATTCCGACCAGTACTTCGAAACCTTGATGAGGAAACGATAGACTCACAGCTCCAGCAGTCTCCAGTCTCCAGTCTCCAGATAACAAAAGAACTGGTCAAGCGTGAGTCGATCGTCAATTCCGAAAGCGGAGAGGCGCTGGAGAGTTTGTGTGAGGCCAATGAAAATGTACAACGAGCGAAGAGTCGGGATCTTTCTCACACGCCCCTCGTGAATTTAGGCATGTGGAGCACCTATGAAGTAGTGCCAGAGGCTGCTTCGTACTTGGCGCACACCACTTAGACAAAGAGGTGGCCTATCTTTGGAAAAAAAAGAAATATGATTTGGCTGGACCCGATCGGCAGGAAGCTCTTCTCGGCGCTGGCTCGATCTCGGGAATTTTGGGGAACCGATGCTCGGGTTAAACCAGAGAATCTCGGTGAAAATTGAAGAAGGCAATAAAAACAAGAGAAAGAATGTTCCCCTCAATCTGTTGTTTATGACGTGTGGGGTGTGAAGAACAACTCGCATATGATGAGCCTGTTTTGTTTCGGCAATCGAGCTCTCTCCGTGGACTCCGGTTTTCTTAGATCAGGCTTCAATGGCTCTCCTTCTTGTCCACTTTGTCATCTCTTAGGGTCCGTTGGTTGTCCCTCGACAGCAAGGCGGCGAAGCGAGCTTGTTCGCCAAAGCTTCAATAACGTGTGTGGCCCTGGCGGGCTTGGCTCGTCAGTTGGTGGGGTTCGGTGTTATTATCAGGCTTCCAGGCCCTCACCGTCAAGGAAACTCTCGCTGAACCGTACCGTAAGTACAGAAATAGAACCTCTGAGCTAGCAGCGGGCACCGCTCCACACTTATATTGGAACAAAGTTTGGTTGAAGAAGCAGTGACAAGAGGGGCAGTGAATATATAATCAAGATGTGGGTCGACAGGGAGCGTCGTACAATTGTACAGAGTAGGGCAGACCGTTAACAAACTGGGATGCCTTGGAGCTGCACTGTAATTTGAACCTGAGTGAGTCTAGTCTTGGTCAGAGGAGCAAAAAGAATTCAAAAGAACGTCGTAGTGTCGTAGTGTTGAATTTAAACGGCATGAAGATTGAAAGACTCGAGGGGGATGTGGACTCTTCTTGTAGCAGCCGAACTGGAGTTCGATGTTCCTTTCTGGGGAGAGGAGAGAGTCTTGGATAAATCATCAATCGATGCCCGCCTTCCACCATACTTGGCCCTTCGTTTCTTAGGGAAGCCGCCAACGGACCAGAGCCTAGCCATTTCCATCTTGGGATTCTGCCCAAAATCCGATAACAGCGTCTCGACGACGATGCAGCTGGTCTAAAACGAATTAATCCATATAATTGAATGCCCAATAGTCCGCCCTCGACTATAGTCCAAAGGTCAGTCCAGCACTTGCTACGCTGTTTACTGCTAGGCTGGCTTTGGTTTCATCCACCTGGTATGAAAGATAGTAAAAAGATAGTAGACACCCCACCCAGCATATCTCGGGATATATTGACCTCCGCCGAGTGAAACGCCCATCCCCGCTCCACGTCCACGCCCGGTGAGGAGGCGGCCGGGGATGGGCAAGCGGGCAAACAGGCGGGATTGTGACCAAGGATAGAAACAAAGGGGAGGGGGCTCTTTACCGGACGAACACATATGCAAGAAACATACATATAACAATGCAGATGCAAAGGCATTGATGAAATAGTATATCGAAATATTATTGATTTGCTCTGTTGATGAGGGGGGTCAAGTGGCATCAACGATGATCCCCCCTGCACCTTCTTCTGCAAATAGTAGTCGGAAGAAGCAGCCGACCTCGTACCAGCATGGTCGACAAATGCATGTGTGCAGGTGGCAGAGATCAATTGATTCGACAGGAGGGGGTAGCACGCTTGCGACTCTTTGGCTGGACTCCGTGCGGCAAGCATCAATGGTGCATATGCATTTTCGATAATACCTAGCCGTTGGGGCAGGTAACCATGATGATGCAGATTGATCAGTGTGAGGACTGCGTGAGGGGAAGAGCTTGGCTCGGTTACTCAGAAGTAGACTCTACCCGCCATCAATTGATTAATGAGCGCTTCATCTAGACCCCACGACTTCTCGTCAACATCAATGATGATGCCAAACATGATACTAAACGAGGCATGTCTCATCATAGTGCCCCCATCAGTGGAAGGTCACATCTTGGTCACTCAGTAGCAGGAAAGACGAGCACGACGTACGGACCAGATGCCAGCGTTGTCATTTC